CAGCAGCGGCTGTGGATGAGATGAATTGGACCTCCTTGGCAGACTTACCAAGTGCCTACTCTGTGCCAGGCTATGTGTGCAGCACCAGGTGTGCAAGCATGAATTAGACATACTTTCTGCCCTCAAGGAAAAGATATGTTTATGTGGGAGACCGATCAGGACACACATGAGATCACTGTGATGAGAAATATCAACCACTTCGGTGCTGTGCTCACGGGCCTCGAAACCTTGCCCACAGCCGGCACTCATAGTCCGCACGATAGTTTGTGCTGTGCATTGACGACGAATCCGTTTCGCTCTCGTGTGATGAGGACAGCTTTAAAGCACTGAAAGCTTGTTTTACAGGCAGCTTTACTTGTAATATGAATCAGAATAGGTAACATATACATATATGTTTTCATTATGCTATTTTTTTTTTTTTGAGACAGAGTCTCGCTTTCTTGCCTAGGCTAGAGTGAGTGCCGTGGCGTCAGCCTAGCTCACAGCAACCTCAAACTCCTGGGCTCAAGCGATCCTCCTGTCTCAGCCTCCCGAGTAGCTGGGACTACAGGCACGAGCCACCATGCCCAGCCGATTTTTTTAATATATATATGAGTTGGCCAATTAATTTCTTTCTATTTTTATGGTAGAGACGGGGTCTCGCTCAGGCTGGTTTTGAACTCCTGACCTTGAGCAATCCACCTGCCTCGGCCTCCCAGAGTGCTAGGATTACAGGCGTGAGCCACCGCACCCAGCCACATTATGTTATTTTTAAATGTTCACAATTTTATTTTGATAAATGAAAAATTAGAAAAGTCATATCATGGCTGTCGGCTAAAGTTGCTGTGTGTGTTCTTCTGTGACTATTGACTATAGTTGACGCTCGTACCGAAGTGGTTAAAGGAGTAGGCTCATGGAACCATGAGAAAACTTAGCTTTGACAACAAGGCCTTGAGCTCAGATTCATCCAGAAGCAGGAAACCACATCTGGGAGCCATCTGGCACAGGTTCCTGCCCTACAGTAACGGGAAGTGATTCCTGGATCATTGTGATCAGCCATTCCAATGTGGGCATAGCAGAAAGAGAACAGAAGTGTAGATGGAAGAGCACAGTCTGAATAGCTATGGAAGGAAAGGCATGGGGAAAGGGGCCTGAGGCTAGTAGGAGAAAAGAGAATCTCGAGCAGTGTGATTGATAAACACAGATGACCAGCCAAGAATGAAACAGTTATTCCAGTTGCCCAATTACAATCTTGACAATGCTTTGTAAAACCACCTTTGCCACCAAGTAATGCTTTCTTTCGCTAGCTAATTTATTGGTTATGAAAGTGTCTCATATGAGAATATATTATAGTTAAAAAAAACTCATAAGGTTATGGTTTAGAACCCTGGCTTTGATATTAACAAGATGTGTGACTTCCACAATTAAGTAGCTTGTCTGGGTTGGAGAAATTGTAACATAAAGGATAAAATGAACACTTGGGGTTCGAATCTTCACTCCATCACTGCTAAGCTGTTTAACCTTAGGTAAGTTACTTGACTTTTCCCAGCATCACTGCTATGTTTTGTGGGTTTTAAGGATTATATGAAATGGCATATGCAAACAACTAGTAAACAAAAGTTGAGCACTATGTTATTTCCATTCCTTTGTTCCTTCATTTGTTAAAAATTAGATAAATGAGAGTCTAGGTTTACCTCTAAGTCTCTAACTCTGTGATGAATCATAATGTTTTAGGTTTGATGACCATGTTTTAGAGCCATATAATCACAACCACATCTATGTAACGAAGACACACACTCCATCATTTGGTCATAAAGAGGAGAGCAAATTTAGGGAAATAATTTGGTTTAATAATTAACAAAGCGTTATCCAAAAACATCCATACATTTACATTTGGTCTAGAAGCATAGTTCTATATATCAAGGCCTTTTCTTTGTGTGCCAGACATCACTGGGATCATTTTCCCCAAAATTAAAAATGATTTATAGGCCAGGCATGGTGGCTCACACTTGTAATCCTAACACTCTGGGAGGCTGAGGCAGGAGGATCGTTTGAGCTCAGGAGTTCAAGACCAGCCTGAGCAAGAGCAAGACACAGTCTCTACTAAAAAAAAAATAAGAAGAAATTAACTGGCCAACTAAATTTATATATATATATATATCAAATTAACCAGGCATGGTGGCACATGCCTGTAGTCCCAGCTACTCGGGAGGCTGAAGCAGGAGGATTACTTGAGCCCAGGAGTTTGAGGTTGCTGTGAGCTAGTCTGACGCCACGGCACTCTAGCCTAGGCAACAAAGTAAGACTCTGTCTCAAAAAAAAAAAAAATGACTCATAGAGTTTTGCACACTGAAAAGTAAAGTGTGTTATCACCATTCAACATGAAGAGAAAGAAGCACAAGGGAGAGTTCATTTATATTATCCAGATTGTCCCTAATGACTTCTATTTAGATATCACTGGTGTTACACATAATGCTCATGTGCCATGGAAAATAAAGTTTAAAAAGAGTAAATAAAAAGTAAAATAAAAGTAAAATAAATAAATGAAGGAGGAAGAGGCATGGGAAGACTGGGAGAGATATTTGAAAGGTTTTGAAATATCTTCATGGTGGCAGCTATATATTTATAAATAGATAAATAAACACACCCACACTCACTGTTATGTCTAATGTCACCACCATCACTTGTGTATGGAGTTGGAGTTCATCTCAGGGTTCTAAATATCAGATAGAGTGTGGACGAGACAATCTATTTTTCCTCTTCTAACTCTGAGATCTCGTGGTTTTATGATAAACACTAACTGTTAAAATGAAAACACCAAGTTTTATTATTTCTCCCAGATCCTTTTATTGTTTAGGATCCTATGATTTATGTTAACCACCACAGCCTACCACAAAACCCAGCACAAAACAGATGTTCAATAAAATGAGGAAAGAATAAGTGAGTGAACAAATGAGAAAAATGTGATCTATGTGTTTGCATATACTGCTTGGCTCTGCCCATTAGAGAATGGCATCCATCCTCAGCAAGCATATTGGAATGTACACCTTTGGGATGGACACCTTGCCAGAATGGTATAAGTAAGCATAACTGTACTTCTGTGTGTTCTTTTCCAAGGTTACCCTTCTTTACTTACACCAAGTGCTCAACTGGGACCCAACAGCCTTGGTTATTGCCAATGCTCAGAAACATATGCTTTGAAACCAAAGAAAACAGCATGAGGGGGGGAAAAAGTGGCAATCATATTTAATAACTGGAAAATACTGAAAAATAGGCTTTCAATTCAGTAGCCATGTGCTTAGAGAGAGATGCCATCATCGTACACAGTGAGGGCTAAGTACATCTTTCTGCCATGTCCTAGAACTTTTAAATGTATTTTCTTCTTTGCAGAAAATACCTGGGTCACATGTTATTATTTCTGGTCTGTTCTTTGCTGGCCATGTACTACATAGATGATCTCCAGATTTATCTCCCTCAGAGCTCCTTCTGAGCCTAGACTAGGCCACACTCACCGTGCTTCTAATTGTCTGGTCACTGTCTACCTTCCCCTTACACGCACACACTCCATAAGGATGGGACACACTTTCTATTTTATTTTTGCTTTATAACCACCATCTGGCTTATGCAATGTCAGGAAATATTTGCAACTGAATAAAAGACTGTAGGTTTGATTAAGTTAATCCAATCTTGTGGGGCTGCAGATTGTTTAACTGTCAAACCGGAATTAAATAAGTTCCTTCCTGTATAAAATTTGTATGATCCCAAGGAGTTAATGTGGTCACCACAAATACTAATATAGAAAGTTCACTTGATTGCTTACATGCATAAAAATAAAAATAATTTAAACCATGTCAATCAATGTTCCCTCTTCTTAAGCTATTTATGTGATGCCATTTGTCCTAATTTCTGTCCATTAGAAGCTCAACAAACATATCGACTACATTCCTCAATGGGCAATTTCAGAAATGAGTGATGGTGAAGGATGTGGCCATGGACTTCTCCCAAACAAGGGACACCAGATCTCTCCTGGAGAGGAGAGGAGAGCTCTGGAGAGGGACATGATGACAGGGGCAAGCCGTGACCTCCCAGGGACCCTCATCTCTAAGTGGAAATTTTCATACTATTACAAACAATGTAAAGTTCACCCTAATATGAGAAAAAGAAATCCTATACAGCAGCTGACATCTCACAGCTCTTCTTTGTCACTCTTGTACTCGAATTCTCCATCTGCCTAATCCAGTGACCAAAGGTTCATGCATGCGCTCTCTCTTGCTCTCTCTCTCTCTCACCTGAGCCCTTTGATCATTAGAACCCCACAACTCACCATCCACTGGCCAGCTCCTACTCAGTCTTCATATCTTGGCTTATACACAAGGCCTTTAGTGAACACCCCCACCCGAACACATCCCTGGTGTAGGTTGATGTCCCTCTTCTGAGCACATGTAAGGGCTCTACCATTGCTGTACCCCCCACCCCCCAGTTTGATTTCACATTGGATTGGCTGTGTTCCTTGACAGATGGTGCCCTACTGCATCTTACCAAAACATCTCTGGCACAGAGTAGGCCCTCCATTTGTCGAGTGAATAAATGAAATAATGAAAGGGTGTACACAGTGGTGACTGGCTGTGTGAAGCAAACAGTCTCACCTTTCAAGTCTCACTCTCAATACTCCCTTCTTGGCCTTCTCCAGGCAATGAGGAGTGGATATCCAGGATCCCCATGCACCTGCCAAGGCCTGCAGGAGTCCTCACTATATCCCATTGCAATGGCAAGGCTGGATCTCCCTTGAGATCCTTGAGAGCAGGGACTATGTGTTGTACTGGCACAGACTGAAGTTGCTCAGTAAATACCAGAGAACTGCAGAAACTAATAGGAGGCTTTTCTCTCTGTACTTTCTCCCAGGTCCATACCTCTCCATCTGCTTTCAACTTGTAATTGAGGGATTTATTTTGCCCCAAAGTGACTTTAGGTCCAAATCTGCTCATCTGGATTTATTTGGCTTATAAACAACAAAATTACAATTAATCACAATATCAGTAGTTTTTATTTCTAACTAGTTTTTGGGAAACTTAACAAATCATAAAAACAAAACAAAACAAAACAAAAAACCCAAAAACTACACAGTGAATGAAGACATACTAGACCAATATCTTGGCAGGCATTTTGTCTATAATTTTTATAATCAATAATAGAATGTTGCTGTTTTACATTATTTATATATATTTATATATTTATGTGTGTATATATATATATATATTAGATATCTATACTTCAATAGAAAGAGACATAAAAAAGCCTTTCCAAATGAGGCATGAGACGCAACACTCGACACTCTTATTTACAAGATAGAGATTACTTTCTACACAATTATAATAGATGCTCAGAGGCCAGAGAGGGTTTACAAAGACAGCACAACACCCCTATAAAAAAGAGGTGGACCATGCAGCTGGACATTTATTGCCATTAGTTCTCACTATGTCCAGACAGCATATTGAAGTTAAAAATGGCATCTGGTTATTGGAAAAGATGATGATCACCAGATTCATCCTGGCTCCATAACTGCTGGCTACATGGTCTTTCAAATGACCAGGGAACGACAAATGATGGGCATTGGAAACACAACATGAAATGCACTCATCAGAGGGACAGGGCTCATCCCTTGGCCAGAAGGAGAAGTTGCTACAAATCTGTAGTCCTACACTGAGCGTGGGCACTTGTCTGGGGCAGAAAACACAACATCACAGGCTGCACGGCTAGGAAACAAACTTCCAGGTAATACAGTGAATGTGGCACTGTTCATGAGTAGCCAGGGTCCCTGCCCAGTACTGACTCAGGAACTCGGAAAAGAATTCCCAGTGGGAAAGTGACCAGAGGATTTAGCGAACCATGTGTGTTAAGACCAGGATATAATGAGAATTCAGAAAAGACTCATAAAGAAACCCTAAACCGCTATGTGGATGCCTGCATTTGCAGACTCTGCATGCCACCCTCCCCCAATGCCATCCCCCCCAAAAAAAACCTTTTTTTTTAAGAAATTTGCATGTCTAATCTGCTAAATTGCCTATCTGGTCTTGTTTCCCACAGTCTGCATTTGTTTTTCAAAGTCACATTGTTCATGTGCAAGAAACTTCTCAGATGAGCCTATATTCACTTGGCTTTGTTACCACAGCAGCAGTGACCTAGAGTCATGGGCCAGGTGCTGGGACTGGGAACCTGGTTCCAAGTGAGCTTCTGTACTACAGAAGGGACTATTTTGTATGAGCAAAAGCTTTCACCTCCAGAAGATATATCTCCTATGCTATTCATTCCTACTGCCCAGGTTCATGCTTTCCTTCCATACAGCTAAATGATTCTTTAGGCTTCCTTTAGCCCTTAGAGTGTATTAGGTTTGGGGGACCATATTAGACATCCTGGTAATTTTCAAAACTTCCCCTTAAGTCATTTACCAATAGCAGTTTGAGTCTTTGATCTAGCTGTTGTTCTCCAATCTGATCTCACTTTTATCCCTGTTGTGTACTGATTTTTATGAATGGTGACCTTTCCTAGCCCTTTATTTTCCTAAGGCAAGAAGACATTTCTATTGAAAGATAACCAGCACCCTTCTTAGAGCTCCCCTGAGGTTTTAATCCAGCACCCCTCCCTTTTAGATGTCTTTCTCCTTACATGGAGAGAAGAAGCAGGGGGCTATGTAAATGGTTTTAATTTTTTGCAATTGCATCAAATGCTAACATAGCATTTCTTTGGATGTACCAGCAGGAGCTTCACACACATGTGCATTAATTAATCCCAGTGACCCCTTCTGCTAGGTTCAGTCTCACTCAGTGTTCCCCACCACAGACAGAGACGTAAGCAATCACAAACATGATTTGTGGAGCAGGGCTATGCATAGACGAAGTCTGGGGAACTAGGTGGAGCAACTATATGTCCCCTAGAGATGTGTGTGTTTGTAGCAAATGTGTATTTACCAATAGTGTCACTTTTATCCCTTCTTACCTTAAGTCACCCCACTCGCTGCTGTTATGAAATGCAACTGGGATTTATAATGCATTCCTTTGTCTCTTGTTTTGAAAACATAAAGAGAGAATATGAACATGGGCATCACATTTTCTTAAACAAATGGCACATTTGAATCTATTAAGGGTTCTAAATATGTTCCACTTCTGCGCAGAGGTTAACCTGAGTTCTGAAATGCTTGTGTGCACTTGATTTAATCAAAAATGATAAAGCTATGAGCTAGTGACATACTATACAAATCTAGTTAAACTCAGTGAGCCAGTGGTAGTTAAAAGGGCGGGCTCACCAACTCCAAGTATTCTGTCTCTTTTTTTGTCTCTTATTTTTCCTAGAAAGCATCTTGAATGATACTCCAGATGGCTAGACAAATTCAAGCAAAGTCTGTTGTCATTTATCTCTTTGTTGGGCTTTCCCAAATCTCCAAAAGCACCTCTAATGTTCGGTTCCACCCAGCCTCCACCCCTCACCACCGTTCTCTCGGAGCTTCACCTTGAAATGACGAGGTCTATAAAAGCACGTCTCAGCTAAAGCTCTGGATCAATCTTAAACACTTCCGGTGAGTTACCCAAGGCCTGCTCCCACAAAGCCACTACTTGAAATAGTTGAGTCCCGCCACCAAGAAAAACTTCTCTAGGAAGAGTTCTGAATCCAGCACAGCAATGTGAGCTGCACGGCCGATCAGGGTATTGGCAGTGTTGGGCAGCGCATGGAACACGTTGTGTCGGATTAAAGTGCAGTCCTTAGCTTCAACTAGGGGACCCAGAAGGTTGTTGATCATTTCCGCATAAACTGGCCCTGTAAGAAAGGAAGGAAGATGTAAGGCTGGTGCAGAAGTTAGCAGTGGAATCTAGAGAAAACCAATGGATGTGCGTCAGGATCCTATTCCTGAGCAGACCTTTATATACCAGTTTCCAACAACCTCCTAATGTTAGTGAAATAGATATGAAATAAAATCAAAGTTCTCTTTGTCTAGTCTGATTACAATAGCCAGGGTCATAAGGAGGCTTCCACATAGTAGCTTTGGGGACCTGTGCATTAGAAGTTATGGCAGAATGGGGGTGGGTAGGTATTTGTGTTTCTCAGCACACAGCTGTGCCTTTCAGCAGGGGATCAGAAAAGGAGGTGTGCATGCACTAGGGAAGACCCTCAGAGATTCAAGTTCTATTTTAGGGGGCCTTAGGGGCTGGAGACACATCTCAATAGTGAAGTGGAAGCAGACATCTCCAGATGTCATGCATTATACAAGCCATGTGACATTTCACCCTTCTCCCCTGATTCTAGGTGCCAGGTAGAAGGAGGAGGAGAATGCAGTTTTCTTCTCGTTGGTTTGTTTTTACAATTGGAAGTCTGAATTGACTATGTTTCCTCCCGAAAGTGACACAACTGCAATTTTGCCTCAGTGGAAGTCTTAAAGCCATGCAGTGAAATTGCGTTGCTGAACAATACATTTGCATACCTGAGCCAACAATTCATACCTCTCAGACCTGTGTTCTTCCCTTTTGCAAAACTGTTCATGAAAACTTTTATATCATACAGAGACACTTTCGGTAATGATCCTAATAGCTAGGATATTTTACTTTTGACTGACTAGGGAGACAGGGATCAGAGGTGGTAAGATAAGCCCAGTCCAAATAACCAGGTCTGCTTTATGAAGCCACTATGTTACCCCCAGTTCTCATGATGAAAGGATAGGTCCTATTCTGAGTTTAGTAGTCCACCAGCCTCACTCTGGGTGTTCCTCTGTGCCATGTGCACAAACCCACCCTGTTTCCCTTACCCCCAAGTCATCAGCAAGGGGAAACCATTTGCAGTTCTACTTTCCCAGGCTGGGAAGGGCAGCTGGACTCCCCACCATGCCAGAAGCCTTTGGTTTTTTCTGATTTTTTTCCCTTCTCAGACTCTTGGTAGGAGCTTTGAGGTGAAGGAAGTTGAAATGTAAAATTGAAATAATTATGGTTTTGGCTGTGAAAAAATCTCTTTTTAGCCATGCCAATCCCACTGGAAAGAACTTGGAGTTAAAATAAAGTGTAAGATCTTTCCAAGAGCCCATTAATGCTTTAAAATAGTGGTCATTACAATAGGTAATAATATGCTAACAGGTTATCATGCCATAAAAATGTTATGCATGAAGTATTCTTTTCAGAGGGAAAATGAAAATCAGCCAAAATTCAGCAATAAGGGAATGGTTAAGTTCAACATGCTTCATGGACTGGTTAAATAATTTTGTAGCTCTTTAAAATGATGTATATGAATACTAAATAATAACAGAAATAATGCATGAATGTTGCCAATAAGTGGAAATAGAGGCATATTTTTGTTACATTCATTCCATAATTTGTTTAAATTGCATATGCAATAAAAGTCAGAAAGTCATTTATTATGAACAAAAGTCATTCAAAATGTAGCGATTACTCAACCACACAACCAAATCACTTTCTGCTGAAATTGTTATTAGTTCCAAAAGCTCTTTTCTTTCTTTCTTTTTTCTTTTTTTTTCAGATTGTCTCACTCTGTTACTCAGGCTAGAATGCACTAGCATCATCATAGCTCGCAGCAACCTCAAACTCCTAAGTATAAGCAATCCTCCTGCCACAGCCTCCTGAGCAGCTGGGACTACAGGCATGCACTACCATGCCCGGCTAATTTTTCTATTTTTTGTAGAGACAGGATCTCCCTATGTTCCTCAGGCTAGTCTTAAACTTCTGCCCTCAAGCCATCCTCCCACCTCAGACTCCCAAAGGGCTAGGATTACAAGCTTGAGCCACTGCATCCAGACTGGTTCATAAGTTCTTGAAGCAATACTTGGTAATTTTCTTTTAAACATATATAGGAAATCCTTATTTCTTTTTCCTTAAATGTGTTATCATTTTTATCTTCATTGATTTTTGGGATAGGGAGCAAGTTATCTAGATGACAATGTAGTGAATAAATTGGGAGGTTACACAAAGATAGAGGAGGTTGGCGTGTATTTTATTTTAAAACTTCTGATAAATAGAAATATTGGTACTTCTTACAGGAAAATAATAAAACTTTAAAAGCTATCATCACATATAAAGTAAACTGCATATCTAATTTTTATGTGTTTAATTCACCAACTAAGCTATATTTCTTAATATTCATTTAAAAATATATCAGAAAATATGAACTTAAGAAAAGAGAGTGCTATTTTTCTCAAGATGACTGACAGGATTATTAATCAATTTAAGTCATTTATAAACATCCTATGAAGATGAATAGATTTTCCTTAAATGGTCATTGTGAAGATTAAATGAAGTAAAGCAAAGTGCCTGAATTATGCCCGGCACATAGGAAATACAGCTTTGCTATTCTAGAGCAGGGATGGGCAAATTTTCTCTGAAAATATTCTAGGCTTTCCAAGACACACAGTCTCTGTCATAACTACTCAACTTAGCTATGCAACTGTAGCATGAAAGTAGCCGTGCATAATATGTAGATGAAGGGGTGTGGGTGTGTTATAATAAAACTTTATTTACACAGTGAGAAGTGAGTTGGATTGGCCTGTGGATCATAGTTGTTGACCCTTGTTCTTAAACCTTTACCAGGTTAAAGTTTCACCAAAAATACTTCTCCATGTCAGGAAAATAAAGTAGGCAAGGAAAATTAGCAAATGCCTGCACAAGGAAAACATTTGGAGATCTATTGGTAATAAATGTGTTGGGTCAAGCCTGAATTTAAAACCAAGTCATTGACTCTTTTGTTTATTGTCAAAGGTTTTTGTTAATAATGGTGTTCCATGGGCAATTAGAAATAATTAAAAAATGGGTAAAATATATACGAGAAAAGCAATAATATTTAAAAATCATTAGAAAATATCTTTAATATTTAATCTCAGAGATAGTAGGGCCCTATAGGCAGGCACTAATATACTGTAAGTGTAGCTGATGTCATTATTTTAGGTGAAAATTTAGCAGAACACTTCAAGAGTATTAGCTCATTAATATTTTCCTTCAATAATACCATTACTGGGAATCAATTTTAATGATTTATAAAAAATATACAAAGTTTTTCATCACATAATAATTTTTTCAAAAAACTCTGGAATCAACCTATACATACAAATAATTGGGAAATTATTAATTAAATTATGGTATATCCATAAATATAGCATATAATCATTAAAATATGTTTATATTTATGATATTTTATTAACATGGGCAAATGGATATGACATCATTCTAATCAAACCATAACAAAAAAATTATAACTTTTAATATGAATACAGATGTAAAGAGACTAAAAGAAAAATCCGAAAGGCAAGTGGTAGTAGAGGTACAATTAGATATGATCCCGATTTATTTAAATAGGTTTGACATTTCCAAATGTTCCGTAATTAGACATTTTTCAATCAGAAAAAGTATCATTTTGCAATGTGCCTCATGTTACTTTTCAGTACATATTCTAGACAGTAATAAAGCATGATGCTATTTATGTATTATAATTAATATTCAAATATTTTTCATTAAAATTCCTATTGGATTTTCTAGGTCCCAGTAAAAATTTTGGATATACCCATCTATATATTGGCACTAAACCTTTGGACCTTTGGTGGACTACTTTCTTTAAAATGCCTTAAATATAACAAAAATACCATTTACTTAAAAAAGTTCAAAATGCCTGACATAGAAATAAACTAATTAATCAAAGGAGACCAAAAATGCCAGCCCATGTTCCTATCCTAGTTGCCTGGAAAACACTTACCTGTCCTATAAAACATAACTCAGATATCATCTCCACAGATCTTTCCCTGCCTCTGCCCTATGCCATATCCCTTTTCTGTGCTCCATCCATGCATTGAGCATTCTTTTATGTTTTGACTCATCACACTGTACTCTCCTTGCTAGTACTTGCCTGATCCCCCAGATAGATAATGTGCCCCGAGGGCCAGGCCTCTCTTAGAAATTCTACATCCCAGCCATCTTATTTCAGCGGCTGGCACACAACAGGACTGAACAAAAGTTTCATAATCTAATAAGCATGTGACTGTTTTTTACAAAAAGCAGCATCTAGGACAATAGCATCGAGGTATGTACACACACAGAGGTGAGCCATTCCCAGCCCATCACTCCATTCTAAGATAAACACAGCACTACACTACCCAGATCCCAGGTGTCCCTAACAGCCACAGTCTATTTCCTGAATTTACTGTTTTGTTTTTTTTTATTTCGGCATGTTATGGGGGTACAGATTTTAAGGTTTCAATAAATGCCCTTTCCCCCCTCCCCCCACAAGTCTGATTCTCCAGCATGACCATCCCCCAGATGGTACACATGTCACTCATTATGGAGAGGGGGACAGGTACATACTGTTGTTTTTAAATCAGAAAGTCCCTAAGAAAAACATTAAATGCCTCTTACCTGTGTGTCTGTCTTTGAGGGCAGTTTTACACATTTCGATCCTGGCTGAATGAAATGGCACATAGCGGTCTTGCGGAGAAGCAACCAGCACGACATTTTTAAAATACTGCAGCCCTGTAACAATTAGCCAGTTGAGGGTTTTATAACCAGCAAGTTTCAACTTGGAGGCGTAGGGTATGAAAATAGCCAATGTTTACAGAATGATAGATGATGGACAGCTGAACCAGGCTTGCTTGGAAGGACTGAGAAGGCCAATCTGTCAGCAGCCCTGCTTCCTCACTGGCCATGGAAACCACGCAACTGTGATTGTGATTGCTGCCGTCTTCTGTGATCATTCCCATAATGCAAGGAGAGTCTTCACACCTTGTGCACTTCCACATTACAGAGTGTGAGTGAAGGCATAATATCAGGCCTTCCTGAGAACAGACCCTGTCTCCTGCTGCACAGTCAACATAATTGGACAATGTTGCACCTGCCCTTTTCATAGGTGGGCCTGTGCCTGGGTTAAGTTGGCCCAGTTGGTCCTGTGTAATTATAACATTAAAAGCTTGGTGGAAAGTGGAAGCTACAGCTTTCTGTGTGTCAAGATGACCCTATACACACCTCGGGTCTCATCTCTCATGTGCCTCTTGTGTGACAGGCCAAGAGAAGCAGGGTTCTTGGGTAGCTGTTGGCTTCCCAGGGAATTAAAGCTGCCTTGCATGTGCATGAATCAAGACAGCATTAAAGCTAATTTGTGTCTCAGGAGTTGGATCTCAAACTCATGAATGCAGGTGCGGAGAAAACCACCCACCTGTTTTTTGGCTTAGTTGATAGAGGAAACATTTGCGCAAATCAGCGTTGTCCCTGAAGGTCAGCTGCAGTAGAGACCCAGATTTCTTCAATTTCTGCATTAGCCACAAGCCTAGGAAGACAAGAGCAAAAAACACAGCAAAAATCAAAACATAAGCCAAAAAAGAGTTGGAGTGGAATTGGGAAAAGATTAACGTTAAATTGTAAATTTTAGTTAAGAGAGTAGTAGACATTTCAGCAAATACTTGGGAAGTCAGAGGTAAATTTGTATTCTTGTGTACTGGTGGCACGGACATAAAATTATCCTGCAAAAGGATACAGCAACAGGCTTTGGAGTCGTGAAACTATCCATACCTTTCGTTCCATTCAATCTCATGAAAATGAAGCCTAGGGAAATAATACTCAATATGAAAAGTATGTAAGAATAATCCTTACAGATGCATTTAGAATACTGTAAAATTACTAAACATCTTATTTGAGAACCCATCCATTCAGCTATGCTTATGTAAACACCAACACTGATGAGGGTAAGTATTATGTCACCACAACAAATGAATGTAACAGAAGCACAAGGAAATAAACAAGATACAGTATGTACATATATTGATTTCTATGTCAATGTGTCAGTGTGCACAGATAAGTAAAATAGACTATACAAAATTACTCTAGATGTGCTGGACTGGAAGAATTTTTGTTGCTGCCTCATTTTTTAATGTTTTGTGATATTGCAAGATTAATTTATAATTATGGAGGAAAATGTGCTTTAACTCATTTGTTTTTGCCCAGATTATGGCTTCCTTGGTTTGTAAAGACAGAGTGCAGAGGAAAGTACTTCTATTTGTTATGTGTCAATGTGTCAGATGACTCATGTTCACAAGTAATGGCCTCAAAATAAAAGTAAGCAAAGTAATTGGACCCATGTCAGGAGGGAACCATCTGAGTGTAGGGACGGTACAGGGAATGGTGGCAGAGGCCTGGAATATTGGCAGGGACAGGGGAACTCATCAGGGGAGACCCTAATGCCACATAATGGGTTTGAACAATTAGGGACTGATGTATTTGTTAGGAACGTGATCTAATAAACTATTAATTATAAGACCCAAGGACCTACTTGGGCTTCCTCCCACCAAATCATGTCACTTGCTCGGCTCACACCCCATTTGTAGTATCTACACTACCGGGTCTGCAGGGTGAGTCTAACATCCCCTCGTGTCACGGGAGGCCTTTCAGTGCTTGGCTCCTGCTGAGGGCTTCATCATCATCTCCTGCCCCGTCAGGAAATGCTGCATTTCTGTCGCAAAGAACTACCTGCAGTTTGCTGATTACACCAGATTATACCATATTGCTACACCTGCTATTTCTTCTACAAAGAAAATGCTTCCCACCATTCCCTATCTTAGAAATTCTGCTCATCTTCCAAAATATGTTGAGCCCTGCTTCTTTACCCTCTGTGACGTGCTTCCCTTACAACACAGATAAAATCACAAGAGCCTCAAAGCCATACAAGTAAGCAATATAGAATTCAGCTCTAGATGGCCTTCTATAAATTCTAGTGGACTTCGTGTTCCTTCTCCTGTTTAATCCTCAGGAATTCTATGACACACACATACACATACTCATGTGCCATAGATATATATACACACATATAGACTATATATGTGTGTGTGTGTGTATCTTTACCCATACATATATACACATGTCATAAATGTATTCATATGTATGCATAAACATATATAAATAACACACATGATCTCCATTTCACAAACAAGGAAAATGAGTATCACGGAGATTAAATGTCTTGGTCCAAGTCTTCCCTCAGTGTCTTAGTCAGAACTTAACCACAGGATGGTCATGGAAATGACACGATTCAGAGTCCATGTTCTCTTCATTACAACATTGTTCCTCGTCAATCTTTTCTAACCAGATACCCATGAACATCACCTTTTTGCTCACAGACATTTGAAGGCAGAAAAGATCTTAGAAAACATCTAGTCTCACTTTACTCAGCTCTCACACAAAAGGACCACATTTGTCAGCCCAGGTCTCTTTCCACCATTCCCTGCTTAGAAGAGGCTCCAAAGTCACAGGATTCCATCAAGAACTTCTGCCTCCAGTGTCGGGTCCCCAGTGCCCCACATGAATTTTGAGAAGTGACGAGGCTAGGAGAAGTCTTACCTGTACTAACCAGAGCACTGTTGTTGTACAGGGTCCCCAGGTGAGGCCCAGACAGTGACAGGAACGTGTGGAGTTTGTTGAGGTAATACCGGAACCGGGGCCGTGTAAGAACCGACCTAATGATGATGTTGCCAAGGGAATGGCCAATGAAGCTGTGTGGAGAGAGAAAGGGTGCAGGTGAGTGCCACAGTGAAGGCTGCTGCTGGGGGAGTGATGGCTGGACGTGTCCTAGAGCCAGCACCCTCCACCCCGCAGTGGGTCAAAGGGAGCTGGCAAAGAGAATGGGGGCGGCTAATTCACCCTCATCAGGTTCCCAATCTCTGACCACGTGACCCCTGATACAAGGTCTTCACAGACGGTAGTTCTATGTCCAGAGTGGTCAGAGGAGAAGCATGGGCATTTTGCATTATCAGAGCCCCTTCCCCCCACCCCATGTGGTTTCCAGGCCTTCTCAGTCCCCCTGGGGGAAGGGAGGGTCCTTTCTGAAATGCATCTCTGGGGATTGAATCCTCCTGGTCGTTCACAGGGTAAAGTCCCAGCTCCTCAGCCTGCTGATGAGGCCATTCCTAACCTGACTTTGGATGACCTCCGCAATGTTACCCATTCCTTTCTTTGCCCACTGTTTATTTCCTGACCTGCCCATTCTCAGCCCACACTGTGTGTGACCCCCTCCTACAGGGTCTGCTCCAGCCATGCTGTTACTTACTGATCCCTGGATTCAACACATCATTACTTTCAAATTAAACAATCATTTAGTGAAACCCTACTTATGAGAGGTATACCTCCCTACCTTTTCTCATGATAAGCATGAAACCAGGGAAGGGAGGCAATGAACGTTAGCTTATGAAGCTGCACTGCCTAGCTTACATTCTTTTATTTTTATTTAACCTCTATAGGCCTCAGAGTCATTTATAGAATTAAGGGAATGATATTTTATCTCTGAACACTAAATGGGATAATGCCTATTGAGGGATTAGCACAATATCTGCATAATTGAATGCTCAACAAATGCAAGCTATTACTATCATCTTAATCACTGGAATATTTAGACCAAGTTATTTGTTATTGCCTGAAGATAAAAGCAGTACTGAGACTGAAATCTTCTCATTGGTCAGGCAGGTCATTCAGCTTTTTGATGGATTGTCTCAGTGCTAGTTCCATTTAATAGATAAAGACCCAGAAGCTCAGAGATTTAGAAAGGATTTAAAAAGATTATAAAAGGTCACACACCTGGTACACTGAAATTCAAACTTGTAGATGTTATAAGAACAAGAATTCAAACCTAGGAATTCTCGTTTGAAGTCCAATATTCTTTTTCCTTTGCTACTAAATGTTTCTTCTCCCCAACACACACTGTGACAAGAGTGTGTCCACCAACCCTAGTACTCCTGCTCTAAATGCAATCTATTCCATTAATGGTCACACAATAACCTAGCCCAGTGGTGTGCAGAAAGCATCATACCAAACTTGCATACAGCAAACACCCCAAAATGTCTCCCTTCTTCCCCCACCATTAACTACCTGTGGTTTCCTTTTACCTAATTCGGGATATGGAGAGGTTGTACAACTGAATGTGTTGAATGATTTCATCCAATAACCGGTCCGTCATGGTATCAAAATCTGCAAATGTGTCCATCTGGAAGGAGAGAGAGGAACAGGGTGTTGGGTGGGTTTGTGGCCAAGGCCGACTGTGTGCACAGCCTGCCTTCTCCATGAATCACCACGGTGCACTCCGGGGTGTGCCTAAGCCTGACGTTAGAGCTGCAGAGGGAGGCTTGACTTTAGGACAAAAGGCCCACAGACTGGGGCTCTAATGACAAAACACGGGGATGCCGAAGCATCCTCAGTTAGGAGAGTGACTGAAAACCAAAGGGCGAGATGGGGGAGATGGAGAAGAGTAGCAAGCATATGGTGTCCACGCCAAGACATGTGTCACTCCGAAGCCCTCGTCCTGTACCTGGCACAGCCTGCAGCCTGTGCAAGGAGGCCATGTCCACAAGGCAGATGTCAGCTTTGGGGGGGATCCTAAAGCCACCCATGTCTTAAGAAGGCCAGCTGAAGGATCCACGAGTGTAAAAAGAAGAGAAATGTCACACACATCTTTGAATATCTGAAGGACAGGCACAGGGGACACACACTAGATTGGTTTCTATAACTTCAAGTGCCAACCTTTGGAAACATGGATAGAAGCCATGGGGAAGCATATTTGGGGTCAACATTAAAAAAAATAATAATAAAGTTTCTTGTAAGTGGTGCTGTCCTACATTGTCATGAGCTGCCTAGAGCTGTGCTGTGCTCCAGGCTGGGAAAGGTGAACAAGAGGTCTCCTGAGTGTTCCTCAGGGTGGTGGAGAAGAGAGTGTGTGCAACAGAAAATGAGAGGTTCGGAGAAGGCCTCTAGCACCCACTGCCACCTGCTGCCCCATGAGCTTCACGGAACAAGAGGATGAAGCAACTGCAAAGTCTCTCAGCTTTCCCGGGACAGGGAAGGACTCTGGGTGCAGCTCCCTGCTTGTGGGGCCTGTGCCCTGGACCAGTTGCTTCCCCCTGTCTACAACCTCAGTCTCCTTATCTGCTAAAGGGGTACAGTGTAGCCTGCTCCTTAGCACCATTTTAAAGACTATGTAAAATAGACATAACACACCCATGACAGATGCTGCAATTATCATTACTTCTAACTTTTTAGAGCCTGTTTCCTCCACTGTAAAATATTAATTCAACAGATTGATTAGTAAATAAATGATTGTAATTATGAGGTCTGAGTTGAGCATGATGCTTTGAAAATCGTTTATACTCTTTAAAAAAGAGTATCAGGTCCTCCCCAACCAGGGAGTTTGGAAAGGAATATCCTACAAATGCATCTGCTTATGAGATTTACAACTTTCAAAAAGTAATGGCAATGCCTTGTAGAACATTATCAATGCTGAGTGGCCAAATCCTACAATTAAGTGACTTATAAAGACCCAGCTCTGAGGCCCCTGTGGCATCCAGGTGGAACCCAGCATCAGAGTGTGGCTGGATATACACAACCAGAAGGCTGGATTCGCGACCATATCTCTCTTGCTAACAACATGCATCGTCCCTGAAAAGAAAACTTCACTAGCACAAAACACAAACATGAAGCCAGACAGTGCTGCTCACTTCCCTGCCCCTTCCTCTGAGCACCCTCGGCATCCTCCCTTAGGCCTGGGTCACGTTTGGCCACACGTTAAAGGTGGATGTGCGCATGAGTTATCTTCCCAGAGATCACGTATGATGCCTTCCTCTCCACGAGAGACTGACAGTGGAGCCCTATGTCACTCCCAGAGCTTTTGTAAGGAGACTCTGGTATCAACATGTAGGAGAACTGCTGTCAGAATGAAATGAGGAAATTGGCAGAGAGGAAGCAGAGGATGCTCAAAAAGTGATTGTCTTTTCTCTTCCTCCCATTTATACCTCTTTGTATCACATGGTACACGATTTTGTACACAGCAGGTGCCAAAGAGAAGGTAACAGGACTGGGCACTAACAGTGGATAAATGAGGTATTACTTTCCAGTGTTTGCTGCTTGCTATTCTCTGCACAATTCCCATTCGCAATGGCCAAGGGACCCCTTGGTTACAAGCAGGTCTGTGCTTCCAAAGAGTACTCGGGACTCAGCCCTGTCAAGTTCCATGGTGTGGGAGCCAGCAACAACCCTCCACCCAGCCCCAACTCTCAGTCACGGGTTCTCTAAAGTCTCATCTACGTTGACAGCTCATTAGGGCCCAAGGCTCAAGCTGCCTTGAAATGGGAAAGGCCCCACAGGTCATCTCTGTCTAATAAAGTGGTCATAACCCAGCTTTATCAGTTACATAGATGCTAGTGACAGTCACCTTTCCGCCAGTGTGGATTCATGTATCCACAAATAGTTTATGCTCTCAGCTGCCACCGGCCCTAATGTCATGAGGTCAAAAGGCTGCAGTGACCTAACTCACATGTTTTCATTTCTTACTCTTTCCTCACCCTTCCTAAAGAAAACAGCAGGTCTTTTCTCTCCACTCATCCAGGTGGCCGGCCAGTGTTCTTTGCAAGGTCTGCCTCCTATCTGTGTGAGCCCATAAATGATCACAGTGCCTTTAGGAGGCTCATGCAGGGCATGCCTCTGGGGTTCTTTTGGTTCTGAAGTTTTTGTTGCCATACCTGATTCTTTTCAGACATTAGGAAGTCCAGTTTTCCTCCAGGGAGCCCCAGTTCTATGAAAGTCTTCACCAGCCGGAGGTCTGCACTGTTCCCTGAAAATAACAGACACCCCCCACCCAGCCCCATGGTTAATGACACAGACAAGGTGTCACTCAAGAGATTTATTTCTACCTTTTCTCCCTTTCCCATCGGATTTTTTTCCTATTTGGGGGTAAGCAGAAAATAAAAACAACTAAAACAAGTGCTCCTCTGCCACCCCACCCAGAACACACACAGAGTCTGGTCCTTCCAGCAGTCCCGCCTCAGTGGAGTTATTCCCTGATCTACCAGCACATGGCTGTGAACTCTCCATGCAGGCCCAGCGGGAAGTGCACAGCCTCTCCTTCCATGGCATGTTCTATTCTCCCAGGACATTTTGCAAACGGTGTCACCTAATGACTGATATGGCACAATGTGACACCTCTTAAATTATTTGCTTAAGACAGAGTCTATCTAATTCTGCCATTTAAAGGGAATCAGCAAGCCCCCCCTCAGTAGGCCAGTCAAGGCACAGTTATCTAAACAGAACAAGAATCCCCCTTGGGGACAGGAATCATGACAGAGCAAGCTTCATGGAGGCTCAATAGTGGAAACCAGGAACAGAGGACTGAAAGGTTAAGAAATGGAGGCTATAGCTAATCGTAGAGCCATGAAGGAGATGCATTCCCTGGAATAAAAATCATGTGAAAATGAATTTGATATAACAGAATAAGATTCTCATTCAAGTACTGTTAGGCATACATTCCATGCAGGTCACAGGAGTTCAGTTGTATCTTAATCAATTTTTGGCCTATTCTTTAAACAGATCAGGACCCTGTGGAGTTGAAAATTAGAAGCCGCTTATTTGGATATATAGGTTACCTACTTTACCATAGTTTCAAAGTAGTTTGTATGATGTAAGTGAAAATATAATTAATTTAATATCATTCTTTATGAAACTACCCAATGATTCAAAGGAGGATAAAAGTGACACATGGCATTTGGGGTAACTCCAGGTGTTTGGAAGCATCCCTAATCTTTAAGGATGACTCAGTATGCCCAAATGCCACTCATGCTGGTGGTCTGTCAGAGCACATGTCCAAACTTACAGGGTCATAGCCATAAATAGTCATATTCCTTTTAAAAATATGTGTATGTTGTGGTAAGAAATTAAATGCTATTCATTCCTTCTGTCAGTTCTGACAGTAAAATTAGGCTCTTTGGTTTTATTGTTTTTGTTCTTGTTAAAGTTCCCCTAATGAAATTCTAGGACCTGTCTTTAAAAAAAAAAAAATAAAACACAATGAAAAGTTGGAAGTGTTTATATTTAGCATAAAGTGTTTGTTAGGAATGAAAATGCCGCCACCCCCTTTAGCTACTGAGGAAAAGAGGACCTTCTGCAGCTTAAAACTTTCTCAGAAGATATAATTTAATAAGATGTTAAACTGAGAACATTGAGATTAATAAAAATCTTGGGCTTATTACACAACATGAAGAGTTGTGCAAATATTCATAACTGTGATCAATGTGTACACTTCTCTGTTAATATAAATATACCCTTGGAGACAGAATTTGAACAAAGGCATCCTGTAAAATTCTGGAGTTGAGACATAATTCACCTTGAACTAGAGAAGTAACCTTAAAAGAAACCTGTGCTCGGGATCAGTTGTCCTCTGAATGACCTGGTGCCCAGGTGACCACATTACCAACAGCTCAGTTTTCTGACATAGGACAACACTGGCAAAGCTGCTCTATCTTTGTAACTTTCTTCTTCTCCCACATACATGATACAAGCCTATCATCTGACCAGACGTCTTATTTTAACAAAATTTGAGAATCTTATCTCATTTTGATGTCATATCATCGAAGAAAGAAAAGCAGCCTGGACATGCATGGCATTGAGGGGATGAGTGAGAAAGTTTTCTTTGTTCCTGCAAATCCTGGGACTTGGTGGAGTAACTGGTATAAAAAGGTGACCCATAAGTGGGATATGAATAAAAATGGGCAGAAAAATAACCTGAGCTCCTCAAAATGAGTTCATTTATTCATCTCATGCGTGTCTTCCTTTATTCCTGCCATTCTATTGACTCATGAATTCCATCAATTCACGCATTCTCATTACTGTACTCATACATTACATTAATATATTCATTCCATTCATTCATTCACTCAATTCCTTCTTTTATTTTATGCATTCATCCATCAATTACTCACTCTATTTGTTCATTCATTCCATTTATTTATCTGTTTATTTATTCCATGTATTCCTTCAGCCACATGAATTCATTCATTTACTCAACAGATTTTTTGTGTGTGTGCCAGAGAGATATTTTCTTTGAAAGCAAGGCCTTGACATATGCCTAGATTCATCATAGCTACTGTCATTCCACAGTTGTTAATTGTATGTTTTGTTGAGCTAATATCTGATCTAGATTAATTCATAAGTATCACAAATTGTATGCTGTACAGAATTTTGAGGAGGAAACTTTTTTTTCAGAACTCACCATCCAGGCCATGGACACAGACAACCAGGTGAATCCCATCTTCCAAATTTTCTTCCTCTTCCTCTGGTGGGAAATATGGTATATCAGAAGCTAGTACAGATAAGTCACTGTACAGAAATCCTTCAATCTTCAGTTCTTTTTTAAATTTTTCTTTGGCCTGATAAAAACTGGAGAATACACTAATTAATCACAAGCCAAGCCATGTATTTCATGTTGAGCAGGAAATGATGTGGGCTGGTATGTAGGAGTGATGAGTGCCCTCAAGCAAAACATCCGCTAGCAGCAAATGCCCAATGTGAGCCCTCTAGGGAGATACTAGTGAGTGAAGCTTTGTGCTGAACAAGGAGGCAGCAGCACTCCAAAAAACCAAAGGTTCTGTGGGTTTTGGCTCTGCATATTTCTATGTGGTTGCTGCACTGGACAGGAGACAGGGGTGATAGGACTTCCAAGGATCCATCCAGCACCAATGACCCATGCAATCTTTCCAAAGATCTCCCCAGAGCAAAAGCATCTTGACCTGACACACAAGTCCCCATGGCCTGGCTTTGCCCTGCTTCTCCAGCATCACAGTCCACTACGGCCACCTTCTAACAGTAAATGGCTTTACTTGCATGCCTTGGTGCATGTGGGTCTGTATGTCTGAAATGCCATTCCCACTCATCTGTGACATTCTCTGCCTGCTTACCTGACAACTTGGTGGTTACAAACCTGGTCTCAGGACTCAGACTGCCAGGGTGAGAACCCTGGCTTTGACACTTCCTTGTCTCTTATCATTATCTATTATTGGTGGCATCATCATCATCATCACTGTCTCTTCTATTTCCTTCTCAGAGTAGGTGTTCCCTTCTGTAAGAAGCTTCTCCTGAGCACCATCCCTATTCACACTCAGCCAGATTAGGCCCTGCCCCTTCTGGCTCCACTATGCACACAAGAGTCATCACATTTACCCAGTCACATCCTCCATGACTTCCCTCATCTGTCTTTCTCCCTGTTAGACTGAGGACACTAACAGCCAGGTCAAGCCTGGCTAGGCATTGGGCAGCTTCTGCTCTATGCTTGTTGAATTGATGACAAGTGCCACATAATAGGTTTTTAATATTCTTTATAAAACAAAAGGTCCAATATTTACCTACCTGTGCAATTTCTTGTGGGGATATCATTAATATGTAACTCTTTCGAATTTTGCAAAAGAGTAAGTAAAATGAGATGTTTTGATATGATTCTATAATATAGGTAATAAAATATATATTAATAGTTTATAGGTGGGGGGAGGTGATAAATACAAACCCAACACAAGGATGAAGAAATGGGTTCTGGCATTGCAAAAGTAAATCGAAGAATTCCACAACATTAAAGTGGGCTTAAGAGGCAAATCTGCTGAAGTTGTTCTATTTCCCAAAAGCTCGTAAAGCCTCTCAAAATGTGCAAAGGTATAGGTACAGTGATATTCTTAAGAGAGTTGTCTCTCATAATGAAAGCTGGACAAAATTTAAATGTTCATTTGTAAAGAATTTGGTTGATAAGTCATTGTATATCCATATAATATTGTTTCAACACAAAAATGATGTAAAAATTGATGTATAAACATAGAAAGATGTTTCCAATATATTACTCAATTTAAGAAACCGACAGTAAAGTTCATACAAAATGATCTTATTTTTGCATAAAAAGCATACATAGAGATGCATGTAGATAAATGTGGAAGAACACATACGGTGGTTATATTTAGGAGGCGAGCTTATTGCTAATTTTTACTTCCTTACACAATTTTACAGTTTTGATTTATATGATATGAATATATTGTTTTATTTAAATCAGAAAATAATAGATATTGAAATTTTGAGATAGTTTGCATGAAATTGAGAACCACTGGAGAAACCTAAAAGACTGTCCTGTGGTACGTAAGCCCATCAGGTAGCTTACCTAAACATCCTTTCACTGGCTTCTTCCTCCAATTTGCTGGATTGGGTAGAAACAACCCCAAAGGAACCCACAGGTTGATGAGTGATGGGAAATGAGGTCTGTTTGGAGGAAAATCCAGCCCTGGCAGGGGTCTCCTTGGGCACAGATGAGAAAGGGAGACATGTGGCAGTGCATGACACAGACAAGTTAACAACCTCCACAGCCTTCAGGTTCTCCAGAGTAAAGGTCTCTGTAGAGGTCAGGGGGGACCCCATGATGGAAGGACCTGCCTTCGGTTCTTGGTTTCTCAAAACTTTGGGGTGAATGGAGTGAGTCACAGTGGGGCACACAGTGCCTGCTTTATGTTCACCTTCAGAGAAAGCAGTCACTGCTCTGTTAAATGCTGTGTCATTAACCACGTGAGGCGAACTGTTTTGCTTGCCTGTTGAACTCAGCTCCATGGCATCCACAGCTGATGTACAGCTCATTTCAGGCACCTTATGATGGGAGATACCCTCAACCTCTGAGATGCCATCACTGGAAAGAGCTCGTTTACCCACATCGAAGTCTGTAGGCATGCCCTTTGGGGCTCCCGCCAGTGCTCTGTGAAGAGATCTGGTCCTAGTGTTTTCAAGTGCTATGATACGTGATGTTTTTAAATTAAGACCTTTGGTTTCAACACTTGTAGCATTCTCAGTCCTGCCATCAGGATGACAGTGTCCTTGAGGATCACACTGACTCCTTTTACCTTTGGGAATGTCTATGTAACCAGGGCCCTGCTGGTTGTCAGCATCTAAATCTACCTCCACAAAGGAGTGGTTTACCCTAGCGTCCTCGATTCTGGAGCCACGACAGAGGTGAGAACAGTGTCCAGGAGAATCTTTGCTCTTGAGGTCCATATCTGAAGGTTCAGCAAAGCCTCTACCTTGCTGAATGTTGTCTTTGCCATTAGCAGCTTCCTCTGGACTACTGATCTGGGGTGCAGATACAGACTTGGTTAACTTGGTAAGCGCCAACTCCCGCTCTTCCTCCTCAAAGGGCAAAGAGCTAATGGAGGTGAGAGAAGCCTGGATGCCGCTTGGCAAACTCACATTGCTTTCAGTGTGTCCACCCTCTAAGGAGTTCCTGTGCAGGGTGTGTCTTCGAACAAATGGGTGCAAGACTTCCCGATCGCTGGGCAACTCCAGGGCCCTGCTTCGGGCCTCAGACCAAGCGACGGAGCTCGGCTCACTCTCAATGCCTGAATCAGAGATGGTGGAAGAAGACCTCTTGATGACCCCAGAGAGCACTGACAGTTCCTCCTGCTCTTCTGTGTGAGGGTCCTTTAGGGAAGACCTGCTATCCAAGGGCTCCCTCAAAGTAGAGTTTGGTGGGCCACAGGGCTCAGAGGCGATGGGCTTTAGACGTAGCAGCACCATCTTAGTCTCCTGTTCAGCTCCCTTTCCCAGAGTGCTTAATTCACGGAGAACTGTTTTTTCTGAAGAGATGGCATTTTGGTGATTTTCACCTGCCACCACTTTGCTTAACCCAGTCCTGTCTGATCCACACTTGTCCCTAGAGCTCCTACTCTCATGCTGAGCACTGACGACCACCATGGGTTCAGCTCTGTGGGGGTTCTTATTGCTAGATTTTACATCAATGTAGGTCAGTGCTGGGGCTTGTCCATCCTCTGGGCCTGGACTCCTTCTGGACATGTTTGCATCTGCCAGTGGACATGTTCCAACATCAGCTCTCTGGCCAGCCCCAGATTCAAGTTCGTGCGTACCTGCTTTGTCCTGAAATTCACCAATTGTCAGATACACCTGAGATTCAGAGCGCACATCCACATGATTTTGTGTAGTTACATTCTCATCTGGCTCTGGATGCCTAATAACCTCTTCATGAGAGTCCATTTGGGCTGGTTTCACAGTAGACAAGACAAGGTTGTCCCTAAAAGGTACGTTTCTATTTACAATATGGTTCTCTTCTTTCTTTTTTAGATTCTGTATTGTGGGACTTGTCGCTGAAATATCAAAATTAGGGTAAACACTCAAATTATGCCCTACAAAAGAAAAAAAGAAATAAGGTTGCATTATAGTTTAAGGACTTTTGTTCATAGTTATCCAAATACCTAACATAGAATAGGCAAAATAAAGAATTTGGCTGTCCTAGTTTCCTATTCCTGAATGATACTCTCTAGATTCTTGGAATTTCCAAAGGGATAAGAGTGTCTTTGTCATTTACAGGAGTCTTGATAGTTTGTGCTAATCAGGTGACTCATGATGAATCCCTAAACAGTCATGCTAATGAGATAACTCAGGATAGGGCATGGCCACCCTGGAAAGACCCACCATGTGATTGGAGAGTGAGGACACTGAGCCAGGTAATGCCAGCCTGATCTCCAGCCTGGAGACTGGATTCAATCACAGAGCAAGTGGTTCAATCAACTATGCCCACATAACGGAACACAATAAAAACTCTAGATATTGGGCATAGGTGAGCTTCTCTGGTTGATGATACAGATTGATGTGTCTAGAGGGTGACAAGTCCTGAGGACATAGAAACTTTATGTCTTGGGACTTCCCAGACTTTGGCCTATGGATCTCCTTTTTTGACTGGAACTTATTTGTATCTTTTCTAATAAAAATATAATCATAACCACAGTATCTCCTTGAGTTCTGTGAGTCATTCTAGAAAGTTATTGAATCTGAGGCAGCTATGGGAACCCAACATCTGTAGCCAGTTGTTGAGAAGTGTGGGTAGCCCAGGAACCCGAGCTTGCTTCTGGTATCTAAGACGAAGTCAGTCTCATCTAGGGTTGTGCCCCACACTGTGCAGCTTGACCTAAGTCTGGGTAGTTAGTGTCAGATTTGCACTGCACAAATAAAAAGCTGTCAAATCTTGTCATTTTATTATTTGCTTTTTACTTATCAAAGTATGTTTAATAATTCCCACTTATAAATATTATAGAGCCAGGAAAGCCTGATTCTTAATTCTGACCTTGCCACTTACCAGCTTTAAGATCTAGGACAACTAAAGAACTTAAATAAGCTCTTTTCCTATTAGAGTTCACTTCCCTCAACTCTAGAATGGGCAGATTCATAGTAACAGGCAAGCCTTACAGTCATATATCATAGTAGAGCTGCTATATGAAATGACGTTACACATGGCCAAGACAGAATTCTGCTTTTTCCGGAAAACTACTGCCAAACTCGAGCTCTGTAGCCAAGGCAATTATCCTACGTAGAATTCAGACCACAAGAAAGTGCCCAGAATAATTTTGATCTTCATAATCAGATGGCAGGGAGCTAAAATAGGATTTTTAAAATCTTATTTTATTTTAGGGTAAATTATTCTTTCTTTCCTCTCTCCCCTCTCCCTCCTTTCTAATAATTCCTAACTGGACAAAAGTAAGTGTTCTGTGTCTGTACCATAGCTCTTATGAGAAAGTCATCTGATATACTATTAAATTTCCTTATACATCAAACAAAAAAAGGGGCACTGGGTTTTTATTTTCTTTAAAAACTTTAAATTCTTTATATGGTGTTAATAGAAGGTAAATGGACACAATCACCACTGAGCGTGGTCATAAAGTAAGCCACTCATGGGGCTTGGAGACATCATCATCTGACACCTTTGAGGGAAATTTACAATTGTGCCAGGGAAATAATGGACCTCGTTCTTCCCTGGACACATTCTTAGCACCTTGAGAGACTTATGAGCAAACTCCCCTTCCTCATAGCCTATAGCAAATTAGATGTTCTCTGCTACAACGTTCTAGTATCCTTTCTACTCACTTGTAGTGTGACACATCCTACCACCATCCTGTACCTCTCTGTGCATCTCCCATGCCCTCTGGAGAGAAGAGTTTGTGTTTTATGAAACTCTGTAGCCCTAGGTGAGGGCTAGTACACAGTCAATGAATTATGTTCATAAAATGAAGTGAGAGTAGAAGAGAAATCCAGCAAAGCAAAGAGTATTACGCACATCACTTCAATGTCATTTAGTCCCATCGATAGTGTATTGACATATTTTATGTGAAAAATCCCTCTCCTGGGCAGTGGGTTAAGAAGAGAGGAAGTGAGCATTCGTTATAAGAGAGAACTAGTCTCTGCCTTTAAAGGATCTGTCAAATACTGGGAAACATACACAGGTACAGCTGGCTTTCCTGCCAAAATAACGTGGGATTTGGCAAAACTATAGAGATTATAAAGGGATCAGTAGGTGCCAGGGGTTGGGGAGAAAGAGAAATGAATAGGCTGAGCACAGAGGATGTTTGGGGCAGTGGAACTACACTGTAGGAAACTGCAACAGTAGATATGTGTCATTCATTATAAATTTGTCCAAACCCATAGAATGTACAACACCAAGAGTGACCCTAATATAAACTAAGGACACTGGGTGATTGTGATGAGTCAGTGTCAGGTTCATCCATTGTAACAAACGTACCACTTGGGTGGGAGATGTTGATAATGAGAAAGGCTATTCAAGTGTCGGGGCAGAGAGTATATGAGGAATCTCTGTACTTTCCTCTTTATTTGTCCTTGCTGGAAACCTAAAATTGCTCTAATAAAATAAAGTCTTAAAACAAAAAGAAAAAAAAAAGATTCTGGACTGCTGGGTAATATGAATTGAACTTCTTCAGAAAAGAAGGGAGTGAATCACACAGCAGCCTGGCAAGGTTTAGAAATTTGGGGTGTACAATCCAGTCAGGTATGGTTAGATCCCATATGCCCCCAGCAAGGTGGCAGTGGGTGTGAGGTTAGGCAGAAAGCAAGAACCCATGCTGTGGATGGACTTGAATGCCACGCATGAATGAAGCCTCTGGTCTTTATGTTATAGGTAACAGGCTATAGATTCTTGGAACAAAAAATAAAGACTTATCAGATTTGTCATTCACAATTAGTACACAGGATGTGCAGTGAGGAATTAGGTTGCCAAACTAGCAAAGATTTTGTTTCACTATTGCAACCATGGAAAAATGAGAGTAGCAAAGGAACTGACTCAAAAAGAGTAGATTTAGAATCAGGTACTAACGAATGATATCCATTAATGTTCATTCATAATTCCTTTGTAACAGTCATTCTTTTAAGTGTTTTATGGACTGGTCTAGCCTTTGGTCAAAGTGACCTTATAAAGTAGAAATTATAACTCCCTTTTCCCAGTTGCACACAGTTAGTAATTGTTGGAAAAAAATATTCAAATCCAGACAGTCTGGCTAACCCTTAAGGCTTTAGGCAAACCACTCCACTGCCTTCAGACAGGGGGAGTACAGATGTAGACAGAATTTGCAGAGCACGTGGTACTCTGTAGTTATTAAAGCCATGGTACTGTAGCAGATCATGAAAAATGCTGTTTTTTTAATATGTAAATGGAACAATTTTATTTCTTTTTTTTCTACTACACCAAAAGAATACAATACAAAGTATCTGATAACTTCATGGCAAGACAAAGAAATAAATGTTAAAGCCACCAAACTCTTTGGGAAAGAGAATATAAGTTTTTTTTATTGCTAATTATTTTGATCTGGGGCTAAAGAATCATCAAAGTACTTTGTGAAAGATCAAGAAGGTTAAAGAAAGCTTTGGGCTTTGAGTGGTGCACAGATAATTCTGTAAAAGTAGATTGTTGTGTGGGAATGGCTCGGGTCAGAGGTAGGTGGAGCGATACCTGGGGGAGACAGCCCTGCCTCTGAGGTCCCTCTAGGAAGGTGAGCACACCTGTGCTGTGCTGGAGTCCCAGCCCTACGTACATTATAGAAGCTTCAAGGATAGGCTTGTCCTGAAACACTATACAAACACAAATAATGAATGGCTTAGAGGAACCTTCACGTGCAGATGACCCTAGAAAGACCTCTCCCAACCATGCCTTGCTGCCGTCTCACACTCCAGGACACTGATATGAGAAGTGGTAGGAAAGGAGTGGGCAAGAAAGTCCCAGAAAGACTGAGGTTGACTTCCCAGTTGATGCTGTGGTATGGAGGTTCGAAGATAAAGTGAATTTGATTAATAAAAAAATAAATATATCCAATATGATTGCACATGTGAGTTGAAGGATTGAATTTTATATTCACTAGAATATCTATTAATATACCCAGGAAAAAAGACTGGAAGACAATCTGCAACAAGCCCTAATAATGATAATATTAGGAATTCTGACAATGAGTGCTTATCTTAAATATCTTCTCTATCTGTTCAAATTTTCTGCAAATTAAAAAAAAAAAAACTATGATGACGATAAACTTATATACATACATGAATATGCATATACATATGTACACATGCACATACAAAAATATGCAAACATACACATGCACCCCACATAAAAAAAACGTTCAGTGCCATGTCTTATACTCATTTCCATGTAGGTTGGAGGCCATTTCTAGACTGGCCACGTTTTAGCTGTCGTACACAGTGTTGACACTAGATGTCAGGATACAACTGAGAACCAAATAACTTCAAATGTTTGCAAGGTTGCGCTGTCCTTGGAAGTCACCTAGATTTTTAAAATGTCCTATAAGTCTCAGATTGCAAAACCTCTGAAATTTAGCCATTTTAATGCACCATTTATATGATGGGTTCCAAACATAGGAATTAAAATGCTTCACAGAGACAGCAAGGTGAAGCATGGAGTTTGGAGTCAGAGTGAGTGAGTTTTTAATGTTGTCTTCAATTAACTGCATGATCTTTAATAAATTCTTATACTTCTTATGCCTCAGGTTCTCTCTGAGAAATAGAGCTTGTTTGGTTGTTTGCAGAATTAAAAAAATAAAACATATAAAACCTCCAGCATTGGGCCTGGTGTTTTTCTGGTCCTTGAAGGAAGGACAGGTTTATTTAGCTTGCTAGGTTTCCATGAGCAGAGCTGTGGGATAGGACCCAGAATTGACACTGGCTGCATCCATGCAGCCCGCTTTCTTGAGTGCTTTGCCTGTCTTATGGCATAAAACACATACTTCAAAGGGATCTGAAACCAATGTCATTAAAATTCAACTAGAAATGACTTTATATTTGAATCACGCATTTGAGATAAATAAGAAAAGATTTTTGTCTGACTTCTATGTCACTCTGGTGGGTGGGAATTTGGTTCCCATTTTGTAGGTGAAAACACCGAGGCACTACATACAATGCACCCCTGAAGTAGTTGGGGAGGGACTCTTTACTATCATTGCTCTTTTGTTAGATTGGTTTGTCAATGTCACTGAACTAAATTCACTTCAAACAAACAGCTTGCTTCCTCCCTACGAACCGACAAAATGGTTCGTCAATTTGGTCTCACTGCCGTTGGGATACAAGCAGGGCCACCGCCTGAAACCCACGGGAAAGGCCATTCACAGAGACACACCTGTGCCCGGGCAGTCCACGTATCTGTCCTCGAAGATAACAGGCAGGGTGCTCCAGTCGCCGTCGATGTCCAAGCACTCGGCTGGCAGCGGGGGCATGCTGGTGAGGTACTCGGAATTCCGGATGTCCAGAGACAGCTGGCTATGGCTCTGCGTCCTGGGGAGCACACAGACGGGGTGAGCTTCCAACGAAGACGTAAATGTTTGAAAACTGTTGCCCCACATCTTGTGAATCCCCACAAAATTCAGAAAATTTTCAGCAGCCTCTGGCAATCGAAGGTCTGTCCATCCTTCCTTCCTTTCTTCCCCCACACACCCCCAACTCAGCCACCACAGCCATAGTCTGTGTTGTTTTGGAACTGGTTTAGGTACTGAGGTTACAGGATGTGGATTGTAGCATTAGGTGAAACAAAAAGGTATTTGTCGCAAACCGTTTTAGTGAAATGCCAGCTGAATTTCTAAACGGCTAGGAATGTTAAGTTAGTATTTTGGAAGAAAAACTGAAATCTACATATTCTTTACTCTTGCTTCTCTAACTTCTAACATCACATATAATCTGAGTCATATTTTGGCATATTTGATTTAAAAACCATCTAAATAGCTTTTTATTGATCGTTATATGGACACTGGCATCCTTGATCAGGGCATAAGTTCTTGTAGTCCATGAACCATACTGTTTGGTTTCTCCATGTAGGATAACAAAAAAAAAGGGGACCCAATTTCTGTTTCCATGACCCAAATTTCCTTCCAGCAATAGAAATTTGATTCCGAAATTTGATTCCATAATTTGGAATAATCACTATTCCAAATTCAAAGGCTGGAGTGGTAGAAAATGTGTGTTCCCTTTTTCTCAAGTCCTTGAAGAAGGGAGAGAGTTTCTTTTACCCCATGAAGAAAAAAATACTAACGTTTTGTCATATTTTTCTATACCAACTCAGTGTTTTATGGTGTCAGTGAGTTTGGGAAAAGAAATGAGCATGCACAGCTAGTTTGGGCCGCCCCAGGTGTGCTGCGGGGTTTTTTTCAGAGGAGGCTGGCCTGTGAGTTGGTGGACTGAGTGGGGAAGATCCACCCGCAAAGTGGGCGGCACCATCACATTGGCTGGGACCTGGATGGAGCACGAAGGCAGAGGAGAGGAGAATCCCTGCTCTCTTTGCTGGGAGCTGAGTTGGGACACCCTGCTTCTCTTGTCCCAGATACCACGACTCCAGGTTGTCTGGCTTTTTGCCCCTTCAGGACTCACACCAGTGCCTCCCCTGCCATGGACTCTCAGGTCTTCTGTCTTTGACGCAGTGCTACACCACCATCAGCTTCCTTTGTTCCAAGGCCTTTGGACTTGGACTGGGCCACACCACCTGCTCCCCTGGCTCTCCAGGTTGCAGAGGGCCTATGGTGAGAATTCTTAGCCTCTATCTTCCAGTGAGCCATTTGCCTAATGAATCCTCTCTCATATATCTCTCTATATACATCCTATCAGTTGTATCTCTCCAGAGAACTCCAACCCAAACAGGTACTTAGGAACTACTGGATACTAATTGATTGAAGCAGACAGGGCAAAAGTGTTCCAGGCAGGGACACTCTTTCCTCCATGGTAAAGATAAAAATATGAAGCACTGCAATCTGCCCCACTTCAATTGACCTAAACAAAAACATTCTGGATGCACTTACCCTACTCTATTTTTTTACAATACCTATCACCGTCTACCATACTATATAATTTATTGGTTTGTAATGTGTGTCATTCAGCACCTGCCTTCCCTCATGTGCTGGTTTGCTCACTGATGTAGCTCAAGTGCCATGAACAACACCTCTATACAGTGAGTATCCATTCTTATTTGTTAAATGAATGAATCAATTAATCAACACGGGGAATGCAAGGAAATAGGGAATGCTGCATATTTCCAGACCCTCCGTGGATGTCCCGCAGGCTGAGAGGAAGCAGCAGAGGGAGGCTGGCACTGGAGCGTGAAGATCCCTGAGTACCTTGTGGGGCCGAGGCCCTGCGTGGACAAAACGAGGAGGCAGCAAACCACAGCTTTTATGCCAAGAAATACCACAGCCTCGGCGATGTTTTAGGATGATAATTCTGACCAAGAAGAGAGTCTGTGAGAGAGTGGGTTTGTTTACATGTGTGGTATGTTCAAGTGTGTGTTTGTGGGTGTAGGTATGTATGTATGTTTTTATGAGTGCATGTGTGTGCACATATGTGTTTATACGTATGGGGCATGTCTGTGTGAATATGGGTGTAGGGGTGTGTGCCTGGGTGGGAGGGAAGGAGTTGAATGAATAAATATGTTAGCAATTAAGAGCAGCATTAACTAAATAAGAAATCCCATTCCTCATCATCACAAAAGGATTCAAACAGGAATCTGAACTCTGCGCCTTTCTCTTTTGAAACTGTCACCTCCCGTTCCCCTCCTTGCACAGTCCTCCCCTACCCGACCCACTGCAAAAGCCACACAAGTGGGAAGAGACTAGCTTGGAATGAACCTGCCCAGGCTGGACTGGCACACCTGTGTCTGAGCATGCATACTGCATGCGTGGCCACTTCCTCATCCCCTAGGGGACACTCAGGGAGCTGGGACACCTATAAATCAGGCTGTCCACACAGTGAGCAGAGGCTCTCCTTTTGTGAATTCAGGCAGACACCTTAGGTTTCAGTCGGGCCATACTGTGAAGCAATGAGGGCAAGTGTCTTACGGAGCATATAAAGCCTGGCTCATCATCTACTGAGTTCAACATCAGGTTCACCTGACTCCCAGCTTAGGACGTTGGGCTGTACTTCTGGAGGATAGTCTAACAGCATAAGGACACCGCTATGTTAGAGGTTAAAAATCCACCTTTTACTTCTTCTTGTGTGTTCTTTAGTATGATGGCTCAATATTGTACAAAGCAGCCATGGCAAGGAGGCTAGGATTGTGGTCTCTGTACTCCAACAGGTCCATGTTTGTGTCACTTGCTCACTGTGTGGTCTAAGATAAGTTACTCAACCTCTCTGAGCCCAAGTTTCCCCAGTTTCTTCTTCTGTAAAGTGGGCGGAATAATAATACATAACTCATAGGAGTAATGTGAACATTAAAGGAACATTAAAGTATGTTATACACTAGATAGTTTCTTACCAGAGTAACTTCCATAGACTATAAACACTAGAAAGGCAGGTAAGATTCCTACTGTGTTCAACCCTATATACAGAATCTCTTGAACGAATGATTTCTTAAAAGTTGGACAGTGTTACAATTATCAACATAGAAAGTGTAAAAGGCAAAGTGATATCTCAACTACTACTGTTATGGGAATTAACACATCAGCACAGGGCTTCCTATCCATCAACACCCCATTCATTCATCAGCAGACTTCCAGGCAGCCCCTCCTTAGTCATGGAAAGCACTGGCTAGACTTCAATAAAAAAGAGAAGAGAAACCATAAACACACCCTTGCTACTAACCAGTTCTAACTCATTTTCTAGCTCTTTTTCAAAGTCACGACCCACGGTGAAAAATAGTCTTAATTTTCATGGCAACCCAGAACAATCCCACAATCCCACACACACACTGAACAAAAGTTTACTGTTGCTGCCTATTCGATCTAGTCCTGTCCTATTCTATTCTATCCTATCCTATCCCATTTGAAAAGTGCTATTCCAAATCCAATAAGTTGATTTCACTGTCCAGTAAATGATCATGACCTATTGTTTGAGAAACACAATTTAATATGAGCTTTAACAAGATGGGCAGTGACAGATAAATTTCACCTGTGCCACCTTGCATTTCCACTTGCTCATCCTGATTTTGAAGGCTGATGCTCCCTCCTGTGTGAACAGCAGGACCTCCTGAGACAGCTGCCGGCTCTCTCCAGCTCTGATCTCCACGTGCCTCGACCTGTGTTCACGTCCAGGTGCTAGCACGGCACAGCCCTGCTCGCCATCTCCATCTGAGTCTCACTTCTCTTCCCAGCACGTGGTATCTTTTCTCTAGGATTTTCTCAATCTGAAATAAAGTCTCTCCCCCCACCCCATTCTACAGTTCCTATTCTTGATGACCTATCTAAAAGTTTACTTTCTCTTAAGTAGCATCCCTTCTATCTTAGTCTGTGATATGCTTTACATTAATATCTACTATTAATTGAATGCTTAAAACATTCTCTAATCTTGAAAGTTGCTCTATAGGACAAATATTCTAATCTCCAAGGGATGTGCACAGCTCAATCTCATGTCTGATTCAGATAAACGCTCAAATGTCACCTTCTCAGGGAGACTTTCTCTGACAACTCTGTGAAATAGCATCCTCTGTTCCTCTCACACTGATATAGATATATTTTTCCCATAACATTTATCATTTGACATGTATGTGCTTATATGCCTTCCACTACTAAAATACAAGCTCCATGAGATAGGGAATCTGTCTGTTTGGTTCAGTGCTGAATATCGAACACCCAAAATAGCATCTGGTACATAGTAAACACTAAACAGATCTTTGCTGAATGAAGGAATCCTTATTTTATATCTAAGAAACCAGCTAAGAGAGACACAGTTGCTAGTTTGATGTCACAAGTATTACAAGTTGAAGAATCAAGATTTAAAACCATGTATATGATATATGAGATTTGAAATGTCAAGGCCCATACTCAATTCCCAGTTTAAAAAAAAATCAATTAACCATGATTATCAAAGTACAGAATCCAAATTCTTTTCCTGGTCTGTAAAGCCTCACATAGGCTGGTCCTCACCTGCACCTCTGACTGTCCCTTCCTTCCCTCTCCTGCCTGCTCACTCCATTCCAGCTACACTTGCCTTCTTGCTGCTCTTCAAACACATCAGATCCTTCACACCAGAGATCACCTCTGCCTAAATAATCTTCTCCCATGTCATGGTCTGTCTTGCTCTAACCCCAGATAACTTTCAATGTCACACCCTTAGAAAACCTTCTCTTATCACTGTCTTTCTCTCACACCCAGCATGGCCTTGCAAACCTCGTACTGGTTTGCAAGAGCTAACTGGGCCCATCCCTTCTCAACCCCATGTTTAGAGATGATGCAGTGGTGAAATTGACCACCCTGGGAGCATTTATATGGAAATCAGCAAACAGTACAAAGCAGACCTCTTTGTTTCTTTGTTTTTGCTCTTTTGAAAGCTGGTTGTTAAGCATTTATGAGGACACTCACCATACCCCTTTTTCTCCTCATTTTCTATTTCCTTACCTTGCTTTATTTTTTTACACTTGTCACTACCTGAAATGGTATAATGTATGCCTTGCCTGTTTGTCCCCTAGAATGAGTGACCCATAAAGACAGCATCTTTACTTCCTTCCCTGCAGTATTCCCACTGCTTATGTGCACAATAAACACCCCATCAATCACCATGTGACACTATCTGAGCAGAGCCTGTGGCTTGTGCTATGTGTTCCATAAATGCGTGGACATTCTCATTTGGTCCCAACAATTATTATCTTTCCCATTGTATGGATATGAAAACTAAGGCTGGATGAAGATAAGGGTAAAAACAACAACAACAACAACAACAACAACAACAAAAAACAAGGACAGAAGAATAACTCTCTCAAGGACCAACTGCCAATAAATGGAGGGGCAGAGTCTCGGCCTCGGGTTGTCTGAATGCTGTATTAACTGAACTTTGTGGGCAGTATCCCAACAAAGCTCTTCCAGGAGAGCAGCTGCTTCTGTGTCCATCACCTCCACGTGAGCTCACATCACTCAAGAACTCAACCATGGCTCAGCAGTCTAAGGCTTACCTACTGTTGTGGCAACTCTGGGAAACAGCTTTCCTGCAGGAATCCTGACTTGCCATATTTCACTCAGTGGCCCTCAAAGTCATGTTTATATTTGTAGGTTAACTCTTCTGATTTTAGTTCTAGAAAATATATTCTGTCAGTTCCAGCTGGGGACTGGAACGAATGAATGAATGTATAAATGAGTAAGTGAATGACTCTGGAAATTTCTAGACAAGCTTCAACCTACAGCTGTGCTTTCCTCACAGTGCCCCTCTTACCTTCAGAATCCATGAGGCGAACTGTAAATGTCATTCCAATTTCCACACAGAATGAGGTGTGGGAAGAAAATAAGATTACAAAGATAAAGGTGAAAGGACCTCCAGGTCTGCCTCGAGTGATGAATGAATCTCAGGTGTTCGTCCTTTTAAATTTACCACAGCATCTCAAACATTATTCCAACCACATTTAGTCTTTGAAGCAAAATTATCATTTGGAAGCAAAAAGAAATCATTGGGCTTGTGCAGTAAAGGCCAAAACACTTTGGAGGAATCTCTGCTCCTGCTCACCAGGGATTCTATGAGAGAGGATGACCTCATCTACCATCAACCCTCTGACTTTTTTGGGTACTTTTGAATTTTTTTTTCTGGAAGAAAGCAAACTTAGAAATTCATCAGCCCTCCTAATTAGGGAGTTCAGACTTAATTCTTATGCTAAAAGCATTTCATAGCTACCACAGAGTCTCAGGCGAATTCTGTGTTTTTTTCTGACATAGTTTGTGGCCACACCACCTGCTTCTAATTCATTTTGCAAAGAGGACTCAGCACAGATGTCATCAGGGACCTAGGAAGTCTTGATTCTGTCTGCAGAACCATAATGACATTCAACAAAAGAAAACTTTGGCTGGTGACCTTCTCTGCTACCTGCCAGCTCCCACCTCTGAGTCAGAATTTGTCTGACTCTTTTACCTGCAGAGGAAATGCAGATGGAATCTGCAGGGGTGGGGAGACATCTCTCCTCCATGATCAGAAATGAAGTAAAGAGTGACTTTTTTTTTTTTTTTTTGAGACAGAGTCTCATTCTGTTGCCTGGGCTAGAGTGTCGTGGTGTCAGCCTACCTCACAGCAACCTCAAAATCCTTCTGCCTCAGCCTCCCGAGTAGCTGAGACTACAGGCATGCGCCACCATGCCCGGCTAATTTTTCTATATATGCTTTTAGTTGGCCAATTAATTTCTTTTTTTAGTAGAGATAGGGTCTCACTCTTGCTCAGGCTGGTTTTGAACTCCTGACCTTGAGCGATCTTTCTGCCTCAGCCTCCCAGAGTGCTAGGATTATAGGCATGAGCCACCGAGCCACGCCTAAAGAGTGACTTTGAACAAGAATGTCTTGAGTGGCTGCTTTTAGCAAATGAAGTGGGCATGCAATGGACTACTTACAGATTTTCCTGAAAAGTCAGAACTGCAAGTTTTTGGTGCTCCATATAAAAGAAAGCCTCAGAAAACCTTCGAACCTGAGGAATAAAACAATATAAATGGTTTAATTCTTTGGGTAGGTATTACTTCCATTTTTTTTTTTTAAGTTGAGACTCAAGGAAACAAGTGACATGTACTAATAGGAGGAAATCTGTGCTCACAACCTTCAGTCTCTGTTCTCTCTCATTCATAGCTCTTAGACCACACTCGGTTTCTGGACACAGTTTAATGCATGTTTATGAATCTGCTCGTGCATTGCTTTCTATCATCTTTTAAAATATATTTAGCTCTTATTTCTTCTACTAGAATATAAGACAGAAACCATAAATAAATGCAGAAATAGAATTCCCAAAGCCAGTCATGTAAGTGTTTTGCCTAAGTGCTTTGTGGACTCTGATCCTCAGATACTGAGTCCTCTCATTCCAAATGAGACCAACGTCTTTTACTATGCATTAGTACCTACCCATATGCACCCAAACTGGTGGCCAGGAAATACATTAAGAGCAATGTCTTACATTTGAAAACATTTTTTTTCCAAATACTTTTCAAAGTACTTTTAATATTACTTGTGACAGTCTCTGCTATACTCTGAGATAGTGATAGCAGGTGTCTATAAATGATAGAACAAAGGTCTGAGAGGCTAAGCAAGTTTATAATATCATTGCAATGTCACAGTGCAGGCAGGACAAGCCCTTAGATTTATAGGCCAATCCCAATTCTTGAACTAACTCTCATAAAGCTTCCTGAAAAGAAACCAAATGCACGTGATCAGAGAATTTATACCATTTGACAACTTACCCGCAGGGTGTGATGTTCCTGGGTGAGGTAAGTGGTCACATGGGAGTGCAGAGTCACCGTGTCCAGGAATTGGGTCCACAGAGCCATCAGGTGGGCAGCCAGCCAGGCGAGGTCCTTACTTATCTGCTCTGCTATCTTCTCTGGATTGTTCAACATCTGGAGAGGCACAAGAGATGGTGGTCAAGGCCCGCTGCTGCATTCAGGGACTGCAGTCCTCTTCCTGAACTGTTTACTGACTTCTCTGTTTTCAATAAATCTCCTTCCCTTTCTCTGTACATCTGTGGTGTCATATTACACCTCATGGCCTACAGGATCACGTCATCATAGCACTTTTGATCTGGGAGTTAAAACAGCAATGGCAACAATAAATTATTTAGATAGTCCCTCACTGTTTATAGAAAAGCATCCAAAGCCCTTAGTCTGGCGTGCAAGAGCACACACAACCTAGCCCCAGTCTGTTTCTTCAATTTTATTTTTACCTTCACGTATTCTAAGTGTAACTTATTCTTAGATTTCCATAAATATCTTGAACCTTTGATCTTTTCGCTCTCCCTTTGTTTATACTGGCTATGCCTTTTCAACTTCTCTATCCAACCTTTCTTCCTTCACGACATCTTCACTGTTGCCACCAGCTAGAAACTACCTACCACTCACATGCTCCCCAAACCTCTCAAGATACTGAAGATTTTAATACTGGGCTCAATTCTCTGTCTCCCAACAAATTCTGAACTCGGTACTTTGCAATCATTATAGCAATCACCTATTTGGCAGGTGGAACACTAGGCATTTTATATATGCTACCTATTTGATCGCTACAATCACCCTTTGATAGGGCTGTTGTAGCCAAGCTATTACAGAACAGTAAAATGAGAGTTAGTAAGTAGAATGTCCAAGATCACACAGAGGAACACAGAGGAAGGATTCTGAAGAACTGTGTGACCATAAAGCTACATCACCATGCCACCCTCACATAGCAGGTATTTAAAATCTTCACTGGAGAGGAGGTAACACCTTTACAGCCTCTCAGCACCTGAGTAACAAGGTGGTTTGCACACAGGGGGTGCTTAATAGCTTTGTCCCACCACTGCCTTCCCCTGACCCCTCCACGTTTCTCAGGGAGGACTCCAGGTTGCCTTAACTAAAACTTAAAGGAGCAAAACTCAAAAGAGCCTTTAGACAGAAACATTATAGAGGGCACAATTTAGATCTAGGAGAGCCATCCTCTTAGGGAGTAACTTGAATTCTGGAGAGGTGAGACGAGAGTTCAGCTTCCCAAGGAGAGACAAGGAGCCAGGTGCCAATGCCTGACACTGAGCTCTAGGTGTCATTTATTCAACAAGCATTTAATGAATATCTTCCATGCCCCAGGCACGTGTTTAGACTAAAAGAGGACACAGAGATGAATAAGAGGGGTCTCTGTCTGCATGGAGCTTCCTTCACTGGTGTAGACAGGAATGTGGGTCAACAATATAAGTGGCGTGGCGATCTCTCCCATGCACATGGACTGGGGCACACAGCCATAGCCATTTTTTTTTCTTTATATTTTTATTTCAGCATATTATGGGGGTACAAATTTTAAGGTTTCAAAAAGTGCCCCTCCTCACCTCCCCCCACAAGTCTGAGCTTACAGCGTGACCATCTTCCTGATGGTGTACATCTCACTCTACATAGCCATTTTTAACCCCATTCTCTACTCTCTCTTTGCCCCAGGCCTCAGTTTCCTCATCTATTAAATGAGTATGCAAAGCAAATAACTGCTTGTGAATATAATAACATATAGGGAGATCTAAGTCCAATGCCTAGTTTAAAGCACTGGAAGTTCCTTTTGCTATTCTTAGACTGAAGACCGGTGCTAGACGAAGGCACATCAGTTAAAGTGAGGCATCTAAGAATAAGAAAATGAGAGGAGGAGGGGGAATTTGGCACACAGTAAGGCTCACTAAATATTGGATATTGAGGCTTTATAATTAACAAGCAGCTTCCAAATAGAGGGCATTGTTCAACCATGGCACCTCTGAGCTGGCCCCATGCACAGCCCTTGCTACACTGACCTGCTACTTACACGCACAGGCCCTGGGCTAGGCTCCTCCATCCCTGGCGTGCCTTTTCCTCTCACCTTCTCACTTCCTTTTCTCTTCTCTTCACCATTTTGGACTTGTCTGTCCTCTACCGGATAACCATTTGAGGAGCCAATTCTGTATCTCCTTGTTTCTCATAAATCTTCTGCAACTTCTACCATGTTCCAGATATCAAACTAACCTCCCTGTCCCTGACACCTACTTGAACTGCACAGTCCTGTCCCCGAGCACCTCCAACCATGCTGTTTATTTCATTTCCTACATCCTTCCTCGCCTGCACTTGGAGCTTTGGCCTTCTCAGCATTCTCAGTAACGCACGTGATGGCTGACAGATAGCAGAGGTCAGTAACTCTTTATCAAATGAACAGGTGGCCTGGCATCAAGGGGAGAGGTGCCCAGGCTGCCCCTCCTGGGCTTCCTGTTCCCTTGCCCCTGTGCTCCCCCTCCACCACAGTGGTTCCAGCAAACACAGCATGCACCTGAGCTCAGCCACCAGAAGGGAAAGCTACTCATTAAAAGTGTCTTTGGAAGAACTATTTTTCCCTCAGTTGATTATAGAAATGGCTTCAGATAAGGTTACAGAAGCTTCTAATTAAGCCACTAGAGTCTCTCTACTCCTGCAGATGCCTGGGCCTGTGCAATTACAGATGGTAGGTGCGGGAGGGTTTCTTCGGGAGACCAAGGAGAGGCCCCTGACACCAACACAGAGGCAACTGTGGTCTGCGCTGTCATAGGTGAAACTCCCTGAGAGGAAGGCTCAGCCACCGCCACCTGATGCTCCCTCACACCCCGTCATCTGGATGAGACACACGTACACATGTACTTTGCTCACTCCTCACTTCTGTGCCCAGTTCACTGAGGACCTGTTCTGTAGTAGGGGTTGTACTGAACTCTGAGGAGCCAAGTACAAATGCAAACAGTCCTGCCAGAGCTATTTAACGAGATAATTGTAATGTACCTATAATGTGCAGTGAGAGAGATGCATGCTACATGCTGTGGAAGGGTCGGGGAAGGCTTCCTGGAGGAGGTGATGCTAGCACTGTGTCTTCAAGGTAAACAGGCACTAAGTCAGGAGAAGCCTGACTTACACTTGACACGTTTCCTGAATGAACCGTGCTCTCCCGGAGCAGTCCTCAATCCTGGCTGCATGTCAGAATCACTGGGAGGCCATCATTCCACGGATGTCTGGGCCCATCTCAAAATGCCTGGGGGTGTGGCTCCAGCATTAACACTTTTTAAATGTTTCCCAGATGATCGTACTGTGTGGCCAGGGCTGCAAATCCCTGCTTGATCACACCCCTGCCTTTAGGCATGTTCTCACCTTTGTCTAGGATCCCCCCCACGTCCCACACACACATACACACACACACACACACACACACACACACACACACACACACCTGCAGTGTCCACTGGTATTTCAGATCTCAGCCCAATGCCAACAATGCCACTCATTTACATGCCCTCTCTTGGATACACAAGAGGGTGTCTAAGAATACCGTGTTTCCCTGAAAATAAGACCTACCCATAAAATAAGCCCTAGCAGGATTTCTAAGCATTTGTGCAATATAAGCCCTACCCCGAAAATAAGGCCTAGTGATGGGCGTGACTGTGCAGCGCATCTGCACAACCCATGCATTTCCTCACGGAGCGGTAAAGAAGACGAGCAGCCCTTCTCATCTGCCCCATGAAAGCTCTATTGCTCATCATGAGAGATTAGGGCCAATGGTTCTAAAGGAAATAGAGTCGCAAGAAATTCAGGATGAAATTCGGGGTTTGGAGAGTTATGATGATGTTCCAGAAGAAGATGACTTAACTATATTTGAATAAATGTATATTGTTGTACTGTACTTAAAAAAAATAACATATCCCCTGAAAATAAGCCCTACAGTGTCTTCTTGAGGAAAAATAAATATAAGACCCTATCTTATTTTCAGGGAAACATGGTAGTATTGACTGTTAAGAGTTACAGGGCATTTTATAGAGGTTGAATTACTTAATCCTTATACCAATCCTATTAGTAGGTTCTATTATTATCAACCTGTTATATGGATGGAGCAAGTGAGAGGTTAAGCAACATGCCCAAGATTACACCAAAAATGAGTACTGGAGACGCTGTATGGACTCGAGAAGACCTGCTCCAGAGCTGGCCCAGTCACCATGCTGTGTGGCCTCTCACACTCACACTCCACCCTGTGTAGACCTGTGGCTGTCCCACTGCATGTTCTCAGCGGCATGCTCATGTGACTGCTCAGCCCACTTGAGTACATATCTACAGGAGACAGGAGGGACGGCCTGCAAACGCTGCACTTATCAAACTCTGCACAGCACAGGGTATACCAGACCTGCAGGCTGCTGGCTTGGAACTCACTTAATATCTTCTTCATTAACCATTTTTTCCCTCAAATGTTCAAGGGCTCTTATCATAGCAGTGCACAGCAACAGTTCTACTAGCTCATCCACTTACAGGACCAAGGGTGATATGGAGAAAAGAAAATTCAAGTCATTCAGAGAGACTTTTATCAACAAAAATGAAACCCAAGGTCTTGAGTATAATTTGATAATTACTCTGGGGCACTATCCTCTACCTTGTGCTATTTGGAGACACATTTGGCATTTTTGCTTCAGCAAATATTTATGGAGCACTTAGTATGTTTTAGTAATGGGTTGAAAATATACATGGAACTCAGTCCCTTCCATGGAAGAGTTGATGGCTTAGTGGAAGGGGAGAAAAGCAATGCAAATCACTAAACTTCACTGAGCAATGACTGGGACCAGGAGACAGGAAAGGCCACGGGGAGCTCTCAGATCCCAGGATCTCAGATGCTTCCTCATGACATGAGAACTTGGTTTGGGCTATGCAGGCTGATGGGGACTGTGTGAGGAATAAAAACAAGATCAGATGAGACAGTCTGGAAGAGTTCATGGCATATAGGAGGCACCAGGGTGAGAGGCTCAGTTTTGCTCCCTGAGGGGCTGAAACACAGGATGTTCAGGAGGGAAGGCTAGGGCACCTCAGGGACAGATGAGAGGAACATCACATGCCCAGGCCCTCATCCTGCAGGTGAACAGGATAGTGAGAGCTGTCACCATGTGGGTTTCCATGCTCACTGCAGTGAACTCTGTATGGGACACTGTGTGAAGCAAAAGATGAGTCAGACAAGGTCGTTGCCACACAGGGGCTCACAGCTACAGAGGAGGTGCCTGTAAAGACCAAACCTGTGATTTGTGAGGTCTTGCTGGGCCTGTGAGCCTCCACGTTCTAGGGGAGGGGCCTCATGACAGCAGCTGGGCATTGCTGCCAAGGCCCCTGGAACCTCAGTAGGGATGCTCTGGAACGTAGCCAGGAGCCCCACAGCTTGGGAGTGTCACAGCCTGAGCACAGTGCCCCGCTTCATGGTGTGGCAGAGGAGGAGGCAGCTAGTACTGCTGGATGCCAACATAAAGGGTGACCCCCAGTGCAGTTTTGGAGTTCAGACACTAAGTATTCACGCTGCAGTACAAGGAATACCAGCTACGCCACCATCTCCTGGGAACTTTTTGAAAATGCAGAATCTACTGTGCCACTGCAGACCAAAAGAAGCAGAACCCGCATTTTAACAAGAACCCCAGGTAATTCATGTGTATATTAAAGTTTGAGAAATTCTAAAACTGAGCAGAGAAATGGCTGCTTCTCAAACCAGCTGCCTCTAGCTAAGTTCAGTTCTCCCTGGCTGTCCTGGGCAGGCTCCAAATGATCCAAGCTCTGAGTCACCCTCTAGAGTTAGTCCTGGAAAGTCAGAGCCCAGGGATCTGCTGCAGAGAAAGGAGTGGTGACAGTGACCACAGCACACAGGCAGTCTCTGAAGCTTCAGTCTCCAGGCCCCCACTTGGAAGCAGGGCTAATGCAGCCTATGTCACAGCCTTTGATAAATGCTTTGTCAGCCTGCGTCTCAACCCCAATCTCTCATCTGAACTACTGTGGGGACCAGGCAGTACCACAGTGAGCACGGAAGGCCTTCTTACCACATGCCTGTGGTCCACGTTCTGTGAAGTGGATGGGTATGTGAGTGCCTCCCAGTTGCTGTGAGGACAGTGAGCCGGGCAGGGAGCGAGCCTTCCCCGCGCCAGGGCCTGGTACTGTCATTGCTGCAACTGCCATTAACCATAACCACCACCTCCTTCAAGACTCACCCACTCCCTTTCCCTCTGAGAAATCCTGGGTCCTGTCGCAGGGCTTCTACAACCCTGTGGCAGGGATTGGAGCCTCTTTTGTTATTCCTAAATCCTTTCCAGCCATAGGCTAATAGAGTCTATCCTAATGAGGTGTCTCTTGCCAGGCCCCTAGACAGTTTTAGGGTGGAGGCTGTTTGCCAGAAAGCCTCATCGGTGATTAGAGAGTTGGGAATTTCTGCCCCACTCTGAATCTGGAGAAGGGACAGCTGCTGGGGACTGAGCCTGTCACCAAGGCCAGTGATTTAATCAATCTTGTCTGATACAATGGAACTGCCAATATAACCTTAAATGTCAGGGCTGGGAGAGCTGCTGGGTCTGAGAAGGCATCACATGCCAGGGAACTGTGTACCCGCACTCCACGGGACAGGTGCCCCCATGCGGGACCCTTCCAGACCTCATCCTATGCACCCACTGTCTGGCTGTTTCTCTGTGTTCTTTGTAATACCCTTTATAATAAATCAGTAACAGTATTTAATAAGATAAGTGCTTTCTGACTTCTGTGAGCCATTTAGTCAAATAATTAAACTCAAGGAGTGGGTCATGGGAATCTCTGATTTTATAGCTGATTGGTAGGAAGGGCTGGAGGCCCAGGACTGGCAAGTGGCTTCTAAAGTGGGGGTGGTCTCCAGGGACTGCACCCTTCCCTTATGGGACCTGATGCCAACCCAGAAAGAAAGTGTCAGGATTGGGTGGGATGGTAGGACATGCAGCTGGTGTTGGGGTGAAGAAAACCCCCATGTACTAGTCATTAAAGTGTTCTGTGGGTAGAGGCAGATCTCAGTAGTTTCTTTTTCCACATAGCACTTCCTTCTTCGTGGCTCTCTGTGACCCAGGGGATTTGTCCTAGATCCCTGGTGCATGGCATGAAGGCCCCTTCACTGTTAGCCTGGGCTCCCCTCTGGAGCCACAGTCCCTCCAAACCCCCTTCCCAGAGCCTGTACATTGTGCTACAAGCACAGCCTGGTGCCCTCTTGCCTCCATCAACTGTTCTTGTGCAAACAGGGAGAGTTTGTTATTCCCCCCCAATGCACTCTCCTCTTTAGTCCACTAGAGTCTGCCTCCTCCCAGGTGGAATTAGCCACACATCCACCTGGGGTCCCATAACCACATACAGCATGTGTGTCCATGTCTGAAACTCTCCCCAGGCCCATGTAATAGCATAACCAACGATAAACAAGGCAGCAGTGGCAGAGTTGGTGATAATATGGTGCTCCAGGCTCTGTCCTAAGTGCCCTGTGCATGGGACGTTGCTTGATCCTTGTAACAGCTGCTTTCACACATGGAGATGAACTGCCCAACATTGGACTGCCAGCTGGCATATTAGGGGCTGCACCCTACAGTCCGGGCAGAACTGACCTCTCACAACTGCTCTCTGGGTAAAACATGGCACAGGACAATAGCACGCATAGAGCTACTGAATGAGGAAATGAATATAGGAGTCCAAACTCATTTTATAGACAGGCTAACAGCCTTAGGGAGCTGGCATTAACTGCTCCAACATCAATCACTTCCTCACCCCTGGCATCATTCTTGCAATACATTGCTTTGTCCGCTCATTCCAGTCTTTATTAAGAGCTTACTAGGTGCCAGGAGCCCTTCCAAGCAGTGGAAACTCGAGAGTGAGAAATCACCTCCCCAGGCTGTGTGCTCCACAAGGGAATGGGTCCCCACTGAGCACCTCAGGCCTAGCCCAGGGCCTGGTGAGCAGTGGGGACTCAGGAAATGTTTGCTGAAATTAATCAAAACTCTCCTGGGTCCATAGCCTAATGGTAGTAGTTCCCAGGGACAAAAAGGACAAAGCCATTTAATCTTATGCTGTCGAGAGCACTTAGAGCAACAGAACCTACTTCATGACAAAGGACACGACAAGCCAGAGCCCTTTGATCATTGCACCCCCAGGTGTTCAGTGCCTTCTGCACTGTGCTGGGCCTCCCAGACCCCAGCTCTGTTCCATGCCACAAATGCTGCTTCCTGGGGTGGCATCATGGTGGGGCAGGATGGCCGCTTCTCTGTCAAATGGTTCTGGTCAAAGGGTGTATCCTTTGTGAGTCCAGCCCAGTTTATTCATCCACTGAACATAATATGATTACTTATTGTATAGAATCGTTCTATGGATTAAATGAGGAAATGCACACAATTCATCCAAAATAGCAGCCAGGCAACTAGCGAGTGTGCCATGCTCACTGGTTAAGAGAAAAAGACATCGATAACAAACAAATGATTTTTAGCCCCATTTTATAGATACGAAAATCAAGGCTTATGAATATTGAGCAACTTGCTTCATGTCACACAGTTAGTAGGTAGAGAATTTATAACCAGGCTCCGATGCACATAATCCTTACAATATACCTCAGTTACCCACTACCCAGCATCAGCTAACCAATAAGGAAAAAACAGGCTACAGCCCTGCCTGCCCTTGGGACTGTGGGCCTGGAGCTATAGCTTGGGCTCTGGAGGCAGAAGGCCTGCTGGGCGTGAGCTCAGACTCTTTCCTGCACTTATACTGTGACCCTGGTCAAGGGCTTTGGTGAAGGTGACATCTCAGTGGGTGACAAGGAATTAAAGGAGATGTTACTGACAAGCACTTAGAACCCTGCCTGGCTGGGGATTCCTGCTTATTAAATGTAATAAGCGGTGGTGCTGGTGCTATGGTGATTCTGGGCTTCGGACTAGAAGCTCCCAGAATCCTGAGCATAACAGGCACAGGAAGCAGCTGGAGAACCTGCAGCCATGCCCAGGTGCTAATCAGCTAGCTCTCCTGTCCCATCTTGCGAATTGGAAATTAGAAAGCTGAACTGGGAAGCTGACCGTATTTCTTCTTCTTGTTGTTGTTGATATTGACTTCAATCACTAAACCTAAATTTCTGATAATTTACAGATTAAAGCAGTTTTTCCTTGGGATGATAAGGAGTGCCTCCTGCAGGCCCACCGCTCTGGCCAGGCCTTCGGGGGATGGAACTGGAGGCAGCTGCAAGTCCTGGGGGAAAGGCCACCTCTGCAGAGCAGAGTCTAAGTTACCAGACTTCCGCCTCTGCGGAGCAGTTTCTGTGAGCTGAGCTGTCTGGTGTCCCCAGTCTAGAAACACTGGTTTAAAAGACAGAGATGTCAGTTTGTGATGAAGCAGTTGTTTTGGGTTCTGTTTCTAGTATCAGTTAGCTGTGTCACTCACCTTAAGTTACCAGACTTTCTTCCAATCTTAATTTGCATCATGTTAATACAGGAATAACAGTACTTACCCAGACTATCCAACACAATAGGATGTGAAAGTGTTCCAGAAATTGTAAATTATACCATGCATTTGTCAAATAATTTTTGAGCGCATATTCTTAATACACAATTGATGCATATTTTTGGCAAATGCATGCTGCCATTTTGACATCGTCATTGACTCTGGCTTCCCTGCCATGTCCCAGGCCACCTGAGCACAGGTGCAAGGTCCTATCATGCCTGGAGAGAAGCCCATAGTCACTAGTCAACAAACATGGATGGATGATGGGCAAAGACACAAGTGTAGTACAAGCTTCAAGGAGACAGATACCTGTTAACCTGTTTAGGTTTTCCAAAATGTCTAGCACAGGCAAGGTACATGCTAATAGAAACTTAATGACATAGGGTAACAGAGCGAAGAATTCTTCTTCAATTTGAGATCTAGAGCAAGGTTACAAGTTATGTCCTTTCACCTCTGGTTTCTATAGCAAGCAAGCAACTATGTTTGCCTTGCACAATGACTGCCATTCATTCAGACTCCAGGGCCAATTCTCCAATTACCTGTAGCTCTGAGCACAGCTGAGAAAGTGTTTCTTCAACAGCAAGGGCCTCTAGGAAGAAAAAAAAACCATATAATTAATGTACACACATAGAAATGCACCAGTTGCTAATTAAATAAAAAAAAATATATGTTTCAAGTTGACATTAAAGTCACAGAGACAGACATAACTGCCAAGGACTCTCCTTACACATATTCTAACTTCCTAAAGGGATCATGTTTATAAGGAGAATAAGCTTGATTGGAGCCATAGGCTGAGCACTAGATAAAGGCCAATAGCATCTTGTGGATACACTTATGAGAAACAGTATATCCCCATATTCATATAACACTTGTGTGGGCCAGAGAGATTCCACACTTATTTGTTTTTACAGGTACACACACACACACACATACACACACAGATATACATCTGTGCAGCATATATGAGCCATGGATTTGCATTTCCATCTTACAGATGAAAAAGCAGAAGCCCTGAGACATGGAGGGCAGAGCTCACCTTCCTTCCCAGCTTTGCTGGCTCTTGGCCTCTGACTGTTTGGGATGTAAAGGTCATAGTCGTGACTGTTTGCACTCTTCCCTAGTTCCATGATACCACGATCAGTCATCTGAACATGGCTGTGGCATGGGTTTTAGTTATGGCATTATTTCCAAGGTGAGTGGAAACAACCCCTTAGCAATGTAGGATGCTATCTGATGACCTAATTAGTGTGCATCTCTCCACCTAACTGTTGTACTCATGTCTGTGAACCCCAGGAGGCATAACGGACTATTGTTGTGTTGATCAGAGCTGTGGTCTCTTGGTGTGTAGCACAATTCCTGGCACATAAAAGGTGCTCAGTAAAATATGATGCATGAGTAAACAAATAAACTCAGTTCCTTTGAATTAAAAAAACCAATTATATCAGAAGTCTAACTGCTACTGAACAATCTCCATCTCTTTGAGCTATATAAACTGGCTCTGAATCTGTGCATATGTCTATTGTACACATAAGATTTGAACCTGAAAAAAGTTCAGTAATTGCCTGATTCAAAGAGTAGCACCTATGCACAGGATTTGGCATTCGAACTGATAAAGCCAATGGTAAGATGACCGTAGAAGTCAATTCATCAACTCTGCCCCTGCATCTACTGCATCATTCCATATCCCAAGGAGAGTGTGTGAGGCATCTGAGGGGTACCCTACTCCCCCGAAGTCTAGACGGGAAGCAAAGCATGCAAACAAGTCATGTGATGGTTTCAATGCAATAATGGACAATGCACAGGCCATAGACATAGCCAAATCTCTGCAGTGAAGTCTAGGGGTCTAGGCAAAGAAATGAAGGTACTGAGCATCGGATTCTGATGTTGAAATTGGTGTTAACCTTGAAGACCAGGCTGAGGACTTGGCCTCTGTTCAGGAGGCAAAGGACTCTTATTAGAGGACTTTGAGCAGAACCAGGATACCTCACCTGCTGTGATTGAGTATGATGTGATATGAAGGACCCTGCCCTGGGGTATTAGCATAGGATCCCTGGGTTCCTGTCCTGGCTGTGCCACACAATGCTGTGTGACTCTAAACAGTCATTTGACCTCTCTGAACTTCACTTCCTTCATCTACCAATTGAGAGGGATTCTGGCCCAATGATCTCTATGACATCTAATCTTTGGAAAATCCATGTGCAAAAATCACATAGTCTTCAGGCAACCTAGCCAAATATGATGGATACTAACAGGTTTCATAATCAACCAGACTGCATACATATGCAAATATATATGTGTATGAATATATGTAGCTCTTTATGAGGATTGTCTTACACTCCAGTGAGTTACAATTTCATAATTATAACCTAATTAAGAAAAGGCTATATACTAGTATTTTCCCCTATATCGGGAGTGCTGGTGTGTAATAGGCATTCAATAAATGGCTGGTGGACAAATGCCTGAGTGAATGAATGTGTCTTTTCATGCTGTATTTGCACTTCCAAGATTCTCTGCTGCTAGAGCACAGCACAGACAAAACCTCCCTGAACTGCGGTGTTGCTCCTGTGACAGTTACAAAAGGCTTTTGTCAGTCTCTAGCCAGAGAGGGCACCACAGGTGCTGGGATGGGCTTTCCCGTCCTGTCCCTTACCCAGCTCCATGTGTGGCAGCTCAGGAACATCCCTCATGATCAGCAGGAAGTAGAGGCGGAGTCCCCGGTAGGCGCGCAGAAGCAGCAGGCACAGGTCTCGGTGCCACTTGTGTGCGTGCTGCATGCAGTTCTCCGAGGGCACGTAGAAGCTTCCCTGCAGGGGTGAGGCAGAAACAAAAGCTGAAGGCTATCACCACTGACCCTGGGCCGTACCCTCCATTCAGCCTGCGGCAACATTCACAAGATGTTTGCAGGTCCAGGGAGGGAAGCAGGCCTGGTCCTGAGAAAACTGGGAAGTGGTTGCAGATTCCAGGAAAAGAGATCTGAGCTTGAATTTCTTCTTTACCCTTCCATGTGGGAAAAACATTGGAATTCGCCTCACCTTTGTTGTACCATGTTCAAATTAAAAAGATAAAGTAGCAATGATAAGAATAATGAATGATGAGGATGAGGGCACTGACCTCAAGGGTCGGTGGCAACCGAACGGCCCCCACTTCCAAGCCTCTCCCCCACCACTACAGGGTGCACTCAGAAGAGGACATAGGACAATGGAGGTGGGCCCTGTTCACAGGGAGATAAAGAATTTAGAAAGACTCTTGTAGTAGGTGGATGCCTTATCGTAGGTAGTGCTGAAAAAGAGGGAAAAAATGTGCTGTGGTGAAATAGGAAGAGGTCATGAGGTTAAATAATGAACATAAAGTGAACCTCAAATGTGAGCATGCAGTGTTGGAATACTCCATGCATGATATTTTGTTTGTATTAACAGATGTAGAATGGATTAAACTGGTAGAATTACAAAGGAATCTGTCCAACAAGTAAAAGGCATTTAAGTCCACAATTGCTTTGGAGATTCAGGCACAATGAAAAGGAAGAAACAGCACAAGTTTGACTTTCTTGCAGACTCGAGAGAGAGGGGTGTCCTGGGACGAATTTCAGGAGGGATTTGCTCTGAGAGCAGAGAAAGGGATCCTGTTGGGGAGGGTCCTGGCACAGAAGGTGGGGTTCCTGAGGAGTATGCTGGAAAACCCAATGGACTTGAGACCTGTTTGTCCATCTACTGTTTACATGGCCGTGATGGGTGGAAGCAATGGCTCTTCCTGTCCCTGCGGCCTGTGGCCTCGACTGGCCTGTTTGGGGCAGGAAGAGCCTGAATTGGTCCAGTGGGGACAAAACAGGTTTGCTGGGAGTTAACACACATCTGCACTTAATCCGAGCTCCCAGTGGTGTCGTGTCGGCAGACAAAGATGGGTGTAAGTATACTGATACTAATCACCTTAGGATGATTTGGCGATATGTGATGCAAAGCACTAAAATTTAGGAAACCTCGATGAGAGTCTCAGGTCTGTGATCACCTAGTTCTGAGACTGTCTTAGGTGTGTAGTCCCTAGAAAGAGACTATAAGAGGGTCACTGTGGTGTGCTCTCAGGAGCAACATCTGTTGAGGAGTGGGACAGGACAGATGGAGGAGTGGCATTGCACTGTCATGCATGTACAAAAGAGACCTCAGCCCATGTCATGGGTAGCCTGGGACCTGCAGAGCAGCTGGCATTGACCAGTACCGGAAGTGAGTTACTTTATGGGGAAGGTGTGACCTGGGGTGAGCAGCTCTCTCTAGACAGGACAATCTCTAGACTTGACCAATTGCTACCAGTCATCAATATCCCCAGCAGTATGAAAAGCTAGTGGTTTGGGCCTGAAGGTGGGTCTGGGCATCCCACCACGGAGTCCACTGGGGAGACCCTCTGTAGCAACTTTACTCCCCACTTTTCTCAGCCCTGAAACCTGGCCTTGGATTACAAGGTTGCAAGGTCCCTACTGATTTAAGAAAGACATTCAACAAGGTTTGGAATCGAAAGATTTCACAACCAGAAAATTCAGCCAACTATAACATCTATATTCGCCCAGCATTGAGACTGATCCATTTATTCCCATTTATCATCTTTCCTATTATATTAAGATCGAATGCAGGCACACCAATGCAGGTATAGAAAGACTGACAGAGTTAGTGCACAGCAGGGAGCATGTCAGTCTACCCAGGCCTATAGAGCAGAAAGGAAACCACTGCATTTAGACAGAATATAGACATAGTGAAGTAAACTAACAAACATAAAATCTCACTAGCATCAAAGAAAACAAAATTTAAAGTGTCTCTAGAGTCACTACCTAGAGTCTAATTTCTTGTAGATCCTTCTAAAATACTGTCATACACACATGTGCATATGTATGTGCATGTGCACTTACTGTATGTGTGCACATCCTGTAAATGCACATAGACATACTTACAAGTTGGAGGATACTCTGGGCATTTATCTGCTCCTTGTTTTGGAGCATGCCTTGGAGTTCTTTCTGATCACACCAAACAATAAATGACAAGAGCTCTTATTTCCATTTCATAGATCAAAGACAGTAGCTCGAATAACTTAGTAACTTATATAAGGACTCTCTGCTTGCCAGAAGCAGACATGATTCTCAGAATTCATGAGCTGACACCAGACAGTCCTTTCTCAGTATGCCACACCTGCCTCTGAAAATCGTGCCTGGCAGAGAGCAGATGTGTGACAAAGGGCCACTTGCTTTGACAGAGACATTAATTTAAGTCTTGCAGTGTTTCCATTAGCTGTGACTAAGCAGGAATGAGAGCGGGAAGGGGATTAACAAAGGCACCATGTACAGTAGGTATGAGGCTCCACTTAGCTTCCAGCAGCCCTGAGAACCCCACCTCTGCCCCTGCTACCCACCCACACCTACCCACAGCTCCATCTTCTCATCACCATTGCCTCATTTTGAAAGTGCTTCAGTGCCCACAGAAGAGGGCAAGAGATCTATGAAGTCTATTATTAAGTTTGACTTTTAAAACTAGACCCCAAACATCATATAGAATTTTCAAGAGATACATAAAGAAAACCTTGGGGAACCTTCATAAGGCTGATTCAATATGATTATTGAGATAAGAAGTCAAAATGCTAATCCAAAAAGAAATCCTGAAATATATATGGCTGGAGATTATTATAAACAAAACAAAATTAAAAACCTCCATTCTCCATAAATTAGTCTATAGCACAACTTTTGGAAAATGAGTGATATGCCACAGAAAATCCCATTAGCCAGCCTCCAGGCCCACAGAGCTTATGTCAGGGTGGAAGAGTCAACATACTTCCATTTGAATTGCATGAAGTGCATTGAAAAGCTGTGCAACAATCTCCCTAGCACAGAGCAAGAGCACTTCAGCAACCCTCTTCCAGCTGTCTGGAGTGAAAACCCTAAATACTAAAGCAGGAACCAAGCAAGGCAGGCAGACCATCAGGCTGCACATGAACTCACACATGGAAGGTTCCTGGCAGGGCTCACCCCATGACAGGTGCATGACAAAAGACAGGTGTCTCCCTTCCTGAGGCTGCAGTCAGCCCAGAGTAAATGGGAAAACATTTGTATAGTTAAATGTACAGTCTAGAGCTTGAGCTACATGGAAAACAGCATTAATGTTGAGACTCAAACTCGAGTTTGAGTTCTTGCTTCCCCACTCACTACCAATGTCACCTTGGGCAGGGTTCTCCCCTCCTTGCACTGCAGGTATATCACCTGTCAAGAGAGGATAGTACTGAAATTGGTGTCACAGGGTTACTGGTAAGGATTAAATGAGGCCATTCAGGTAAAACGCTGACATATGCAATGGCCCAGTGTCAAGTCAGTGAGCACTAAAAGGAACATCTGCTTACTTAGGACATCTTCGCTGATGGCCTCGGTCAACATGTCTATGGATTGTGTAGCTTAAGATTCAACAGTGATCCACACTCAGAGACCTAAACATGAGTTACAGTTCACTGTGAGTTCTGTAGGGGTATGGTTTGGTTTTGAACACAGATTTTGGAGGAAAATAGGCCTACACCTTGCTCATGGATCAGACCCTTACTAACAGTGTACCTGAGCTCATCCTTCTACATTAGAAGTACAGGTTTCCTATCATGGAAAGTTGGGATAACAATAAAGTTACAATGCTTAGGAGAGTGCCTGGTTTATAGTTAAGTACTTAATAAATTTTAGTTAAGAAGTTTCTTTTTATCTCATTTATTACTTAACAGAATATATAAATATCAGAATAGCTAAGCTTGTTATCAATTCTTGCCTTTATATAAATGCCTCTCAAATCTACATCACTAAATTTAATTCCTTCCCTAGGCTCCAGATCTCTGCATTCCAAGCTTCTGATTGGATAGCTTCACAAAGCCACGTTAAACAGAGCTCCTCGTTGTCCCCTCACCAGATCTGTCTCTTTCCTCTGGTCTTCCTTAATGGACCCCACTTTGCCCAATATCCAGGAAAGCCAGGGAGCTCCCCAAGGCCCCAGAATTCTTTCTTACCTCCAGAATCTGTTCTAAAGTTTGAAGGTTCTACCTCTAGAATTCTCTGATCCCTGCCACAGTTTAAATTGTCTACATTGCTTACTTGAATTATTAAAAACATCCATCTCATGAGTCTCAGTGCTCTGGTTTTAGCTTCTACCTACAGCACCAATCTGTACATGTCAGTTCATGTCATTATTCACTGTCTGTAAGATAAAGTTCAAACCCCTCTGTGTGGCATTCAAGGCCTTTCCACCTTAAGCCCTGACCACATTTCCAGATTCAACTGCTCCTCTCCAGGCACTTTTCCTCTTGAGGGCCTGTCCCTTGCTGTCTGTAATGTCCTTTTCCAGGCCTTTCTGAATTAATCCCTAGTCACCAGCAAGATGCAGGTCAAATGCCACCTCCTCTGTGAGACTCTCCAACCACCACTTCCTCTGCGGTTCCTCATGCATACTTTATTAGACCAATTATTACTCTCTCTATGTCTCTTTCCAACACTCCCTGAACACTCTGAGGGTGGAAACAGTATGTTATTTGCCTTTGAACATAAAACAGGCACATATATATTCACTGAATAGGCAGAGAATGAGTGGATGAAGGAGTGAATTGTAGCCTCTGCTATAGGTCACTGTATCGTCACGACAATACAGACTTGATGGACACAGGCCTGGCTTTTAGGTCCAACATACCCTCATGTCCCCCTACTTTAAAACTGTGGGACTTTCACAAGACTTTGAGGTTTGGATTAGGACTTCCTAGATTACCTTGATAATCATGCTATAGATACACATGTCCTATATAAATACACTTG